AGATTGTCACGTCAGCCACAGAATTCGAGTCGATCCAGATGCGCCGTCACGAGGACCACATCCTGCGTCGCGTATACGACCGTGTGCCTGTCAAGATGTCGCAGGTCGCCTACGACTCGCCGCACTTCAAGGCCTTCGTGCTGCTGCAAGCTCACTTCTCGCGTATGCAGTTGCCGATTGATCTTGCCAAGGATCAGGAGGTCATTGTCAGCAAGGTTCTCAACCTGCTCAGCGCATGTGTCGATGTTCTCTCTTCAGAGGGCCATCTGAACGCCATGAACGCCATGGAGATGTCTCAGATGGTTGTCCAGGCCATGTGGGACCGCGACAGCCCTCTGAAGCAGATTCCTCACTTCGGCCCCGACGCCATCAAGGTGGCCAACGAGTACAAGTATGTCCCATCATCCCCTCCCTCTCATACCACCATCACTAACAACCTTCCCAGCATCAACGACATCTTCGAGTTCATGGAAGCCATGGACCCCTCCGAGAACAAGGACTACGCGACCTTGGTCAAGCGCCTCGGCCTGGACAACAGACAACTGGCACAAGCCGCGGCCTTCACCAACGAGAAGTACCCCAACCTCGAACTGGACTTCGAAGTCGAAGATCCAGAGAGCGTCACCTCCGGCGAGCCAAGCTACCTCAAGGTCAAGATCGAGCGCGAGGTCGAAGAAGACGAAGAGCCCGACACCTCCGTGCACGCACCCTTCTACCCCAACAAGAAGATGGAGAACTGGTGGCTCGTGGTCGGAGACGAGAAAACAAAGAACCTGCTGGCTATCAAGCGTATCACTATCGGTCGCAAGTTGGAGCTGCGTCTTGAATACATCGTGCCTACGCCTGGTGAGCACGAGCTGACTTTGTACCTGATGAGTGACAGTTACGTTGGTGTGGATCAGGCTCCTACGTTTACTGTTACGGCTGCCGAGGGAATGGATGAGGATGAGGACGAGGAAGAGGAAGACGAGGAGTAGATGGATTGATGGATAAATCTCTTCGCCGTGGATGGTTCCGGTTGAGAATGATTTCGTTATGGTTCGCATTTCTGTAATTATATGTGTAATGTGGAATAACATGAATCGCTGTTCAAAGTTATGATTTTTTTTTCTACGCACGTGTGAAGTCTATCGTACACTATTTCTCATAGGAGTAAATTACTACTAACTAGAGTCTATCGGGCAATATTCTGAGGCACAATCCCTGAATTCACTCAACCTGCCTTCTTGTAGCTCAACCAGCACGCTTCTAGTAAGAAATAAGACCGTCATGAGATTGAAGGATTAGGAAGAAACATATTATTTCCTTTTCTTGGAACTAAATCCGAAATCCTGGCTACCTGCATAATCCACATAAATCAATCACTATGTAATGGCCATGTGTACAAGTGCGGCTTATTTCACTGGGAAATACAGTCTCCATATTCCTTAAACATACTCAAATGATGAAGATCCCGTTTGGCAGAAGAAGCCAAATGGAGACAGGCGGTGGGATGTATGGCTGCTGCGGGCCCGAGCCGAGCTGACTCGACATACTGACTTCAAAACTGTCAGCGTTGTTTGGTATTTGAGACTTAGATGATTTTAGCGTATGGTAGTTCATGGGCTCTTCTTTAGCCTAATGAAGGATTGTTTTGCATATCCCTACCTTTTCGAGGTTAGGTACAATATATCTGCTGGGCATGGTTGGAGAGATGATTCAGCGGATGTCGGAAGCCCGAAACCCGAGAGAGCGTGCCCATTTACCGATTAGGGCTGTGCTGTGGACCCGAGCCGAAAGAGCATGGGCCCTTCACTTCAGTTCATGACATATCTAGCCTCAGGGGCTTTGATGGAGGGCGAGCTATTGGAAAGGAAACAGACGGAATGGATAATGTAGTGAATATTGAGTGATATCGAGGACAATCCAGACCAGCAGGTTGCTTAGGGTGCTCGTAGTCGTGTCAGAACTTGCTCATAGATCCTACTGATACCCCAGTACTTCAGCGCTCTGAGGCTCAAGATTGATTCGTCTAAGAATCTGGAGCGGCCTCGATCAGACATGATATCACCAATTCCGGGCAATTTGATGCGGCCCCAGCCAGTGTTGATCCATTCAACAGCGCTCATGCCACCCCAGTCCGGGGCACGGAGGGTAATAGACGGCGCCTCAGTCGCGGGTGAAGGGTAGCATTGGGGGTTGCAGAGTGAAGAGTACAGCCATATCACTAGAACGGCTCGGAAGAAGAAGACGGGGGTGGAAAAATGTGCACAATGATGGGATCGCACGGTTTCGAGTACCCGTGCGGCGTAAAAGATGGCTGATCTTCCTTTATGTGACACAATGCCCCATTCATCAGCTATTTTGCCCAAGTCAAACTCACTCAGCTGCCGGCCCTTGATCTTCAAAGCTGTAGGTAGTAATGGCAGTTTCGGACTATTGTTGATCATGAGGGCATAGAGAACCATGAGCCTGTGAGTCGCGCAGACTTTGAGCTCAGGGGAGGAACATTCTTCCTCATTATCTATGATCTCCAGTAGTTGTCTCAAATCTTTATCCAATTCACTTGAATCCGATGATGAGGATCCTGAGAACTTTTGGTGACCACTGACACCATTGAGTAGGAGCTGGATAATAGCTTGCTTCCCAAGAGTTCCAGTTTTAGACCAGACAGCCGACCAGTTTCTATCAGAAGCAATATGCTCCAATGTAAAGGTTTTATTTCGGCCTGATATGTTAGAAGTGACCATAGGAAATGGCATATCGAAACCTACTTGTGCGTGTTGGGAAAGTAGCCCAGCCCTGTGCTGTCGCCGCTTCCCAGAGCTCCTCTTCCTGGGGCAGGGTATTCTGCATCTCATCATCCCGTACTATAGAAGACAAATCAAAATGTATGGAGAAAGCTGTATCCGCTAGCTGCATGACCACGTCAGATGCTGTTATAGCTAATATGTCCAGGTAAGCACGAAAGGATTTGGGGAACCACTAACCCAGATAGCGTAACCGGTGCGTCGCCTCTCCTCATCCAGAGTCCAGATTTGCCATTTTTGGGCATTTGGAAGCTCTAGCTGATGGATTTTCTGGGGGGATACAATGCTTCTAAAGATCTGACTTCGCCGAGCCACGGTAACTGGAAGCGCTTGGTACACTTCAGCGACTTCTAGGGCCCTCCGTTCGCCAGAGTATCGCAGCCCCAGTTGGTTGAGAAGGAAGACCCGCATAAGCCACAGCTCCCGGGCATGTACATTCAGATTCTCACACTAGCAAATAAGTGTATTGTCAACCGTAAAGCATTGAGCATATAAGCTGCGGAACCTCACTTACCAGATGCATGGACTGACGTCTCACAAGCTCGTGCATAGCTCTCGAACAGGTCTGCGCATGTGGGAGCCCGGAGAATTGAGCGCCGATAGCACTCACGACAAAGATAAGAAGCCAATGCGTGCCCGGTGTACAGAAAGACGGCTTGTGCAATATAGGGAAAACGGGATGGAAGTGCTCAAAGTACAGCTGCACCCAAGAATTGATTACCGGCAAGGGTGGAATTTTCAGCTCAGTGAACGGTGGAAAGGTCGGGTTTCCTTGCATGATCCGCGCCACACGATGTACTTCTTCCACCGCTGCAGCAGGCACGTCGTTCACGTGGGCAAAGTTCTCTTCGTCCACTCGTTCTATAGGCAGGCCCTCCATGTCTGGGAAGGACAGCTGCGCATCGATATTGATAGCAGTTGGGGAATACCGTCTTGGTTCCATGGCTTCGTCAATTTCCAGAGAGTGATCATGACCGTAGATTTCGGCAACTGCACTTGGTGTCAACGGTAGGAATGGCCGAGCTATCCTCGAGACTGTATTTGAAGGGGAAGATGAGGACTCCGTCTCTGCTGAGGCCAGCCACAAATCATTCGGACCATCGTTCAATGCAGGGGTCTGCTCTAGGATACCAGATAGCACATTAGCATCGATGTCAAGGCCCAGGAAGCTCTCAAACCCCATCCCATCGGTGGCGAGCAAGGCCGATGTACTCTCGTGCGTAGCTGCTGGAACGTGGCTCGTAAGGTGACTGCCACTTCCAAATGCCTCCACGTTTTCCATGCTCCTGGCATTGACTCTTGACGTTGGCTGCAGTTGAGTCATTGAATGCATGGTAGGTGATGGTGGTGAAATAATGTCCTCTGGGAGCTGGGTTGATGCTTCTTCGTCATCTTGCTGATCCGGTGTGAGAGAAGGTTCCCAGTTCTGAGGTATAGCTGTACCACGGTGCCGTTTTGAGATTGAAGGGCGCATTGTAGCAGCAGCATTCGCGAGCTGGCGCTTCTGCGGTGACTGGTAAACACAGTCGGCCCCATTTTTCTGACACCTCTGACACGGTTGCTGTCCGTCACAGCGAACTTTGGACAAGTTACATTGCTTGCATGCCTGCGCTACCCGACGTCGCTCACTGGTATGCGCGCTGCCATTGGGGACGATGTGTTCATGTCTTGTGCCGTGATGACGAGCAAGTGAGTCTCTACAGACTGCATATCAGCTTGAGAGTACTACTCAATTCACAAGTAAACGAGGGCATACACTCGACTGAACTGTTGACCGCACTCGACACAAGCAAAGGGCTTTTCCTTGGTATGAGTGCGGATGTGGCGCTGATAGTGCTCGGGCCGCTGGAATGAAGCATTGCAAGCTTCGCAGCGCCACTGGGTGGATTGCATTGCACCAGATTCTTCTGAGAGTATAAGTTGCGCAGCATCACCTGAAGGACTGAATGATAGGCACTCAGGTAGCATTGTAGTTGCTGTTACCAGGATGGAAAGGGACTGGGGAGGCATGGGATTCGGCCTGCTCTTCGGGCCATCGCCGCTAATCCCGAACAGGACTCCACCCACTAACCCTCTTCCTCCGTTCAATCCACAAAGACTCCACATCTAACCTCTCTTTCTTCCTCTTCGATTTCCTACGCGAACCTGACACAGCATTTCTGTGCAGTTCCTAGGTATCTATACATGGGCTGTGAAATTAAGCAACCTTTTAACAACTCTATTTAGTACACAGGCTGATTGGGCAGGGTCAGAAAAGAGTGACAGACTATAAGCACTCGGGTCTATTGCAGTACTCTTAGAAAGAGTCACGATAGATTAGGCGCTCACTTGAGCCGCCCGGAGAAGCTGCTGAGCTTCCCGACAGGGGTACGAATTCCAGGTGTAGGAAAACATATCCGGAGGCAACTCGGCATCGGGCACATAGGTCCTCAATTCGTCCAACATCTGGCCCCGGCGATCGTCGCTTACCTTGGACATCAGCATCACCGTTACAGATCGCTCATAGCGTATCTTGTTGTACAGTTCCAGTCTGCCCGGGATATCATCTTTGGTACACTCGGAGGTGAAAAGGGCACCCAGAGCTGCTCCATCTTCGAGGCTCTGCGCACCGCCTTGGCCCTGGTCTACGTCATAATGTAGTTAGCAATGGGCGCAGCATAAGCCCGGAGTCACCAGAAACTCACGAGGCAGTGTTGGGTGGGCGGCATCTCCGATGAGTGCTAGCTTGCCACGGATGAAGGTGCGCGGCGGAGAACGAGACGCCAAGCTCCAGAGCTTCAGGTCTTCTGCCAATTTGCACATTTCTTGAAGCTCGGAGCTGAACACACTGCATGTTTCAAGCAACGAATCCAAGTTGCCGCTGTCTAGCCAAGAAGACTCCTTAGCGCTAGAGTCGGCTCCTGAGGGATGGATAGCGGCGATATTGAGCAGATCGCCGTGACGACAGGGATAGACGACTATTCGGCGATCCTCCGTGGTGAAAACGTCCACAGAGTCCGATCCCATCTTTTCCAAAAGAGAGGCAGTGAGAGGGTTGCTTTTCATCTTGGAGACAGGGATAAGGAAGCGAAAGCAGTTCTGCCCTGTGCTTTCCTTCTTGGTAGGTCCACCGATGACACTGCTAACACACCGAGACTAGTAGAACAATTTAGTATACTAGACATAGGTTCCACAAAGGGCGTCGTTCGTACATGCATGCCATCCGCCCCAATGATTAGGTCGCCAGTGTACTTGGTACCGTCCTCGAGGGTTACCACTCCAGCCTCGGGATCCTATCAATCATCTAGGTGAGTAACTTGGAAACACTGAATGAAGCAGAATATATACTGACCACCGAAGCTACACGAGAACGCAAGTGAATAGTAGGCTTCTTGCCGTTGACCTCCCTGGCAGCTAAAGCTCTAAGAGTATTGTGCAAATCCACTCGGTGTGTGAGCAACCACTCATCGTAGATACCCAGTGCTTCCTGGGTGTCCTTAGTCACCTGCATGATTATTAGCCTTGATCGACCATCTGACCCTTTAGAAAAGCACCTACAACTGGGATGTGCATAAGGTTTCCTTGGTGATCCCACAACCGCATTTTGTTGCAGTGGACCGGCTGCAGGTCCTCTAAGTTGCATCCCCAATCTTTGAGGATGCGCGTGGCATTAGGCGCCATGTGAATCGCAGCTCCTACTTCATTCAGGAAGCCGGACTGCTCGAGGATCTGATTAAGTCAGCTTCACTGAGAATCTAGCGATAGTGTAGCCCATATTGACACACCTCAATATCATGACCTTGGCGGTTCAACGCAATGGCTGCGCCCAGACCGGCCAGGCCAGCACCAACCACGATGATCTTCAAGGGCATTTTAAAACAGCACTTATATTAAAGAGTATTAAGGTAAGTAGACGTGCAGCGGAAAACATTCTGTGTGGCTATTGAGTGGACATCTTGCTTGCTTTATACACGTGGTTGAATCACGTTCTCGGCCAGACCACTCGGCATCTCTCTTCGGTCTGCCCACAGTAGCCGATCGGTTCTTGGCTGAGCATCAGACCTTTGTATGGTAGCTCCACCGGCCAGGAGAACCAAGTGAACCGGTGTTTTGCATTTGCGTTATGAAGTCATAAATTATCCTTCACATCTTAAATGCTAAACTAGATTGTATGGCTCGCATCCCTTCCGTGGCAATGAGTCGAAGCCGCTGTCTGCAATGGCGAATCCTCGGTACGATGTCAGACATCCTTTCTGCAGGGCTCGGAGACTTGGACCCTTAGTTCACGATCTGCAGGTCTCTGGCTGACAGTGCTAGTGCTGTGCTTGTTTGTGGTCTCCTTCCTCTTTCCCCCTAGGATATAAGACTATCTCTGGATAGCATCAGATTTTGTTTCAAAGTTTATGCCGGGTTGTAGGAAATCTGGCCACTGTTTGGCATGATTCTCACAACCGAGCGGGCGAACCGGTGATCATTATGGAGTGCCTGAGGTCCCCACCGGGGTGAACCACAGTAGCAAGTAGGCACTTGATTCCCCGCATTTCTCGGGATCCCGTATCAACTCGAATCAATGTAAATCGCGGTTATATATGCTAGAATTGGGATCTGCCGAACTTTGCCATCTAGTTTCCAGTAACTTTGTGGAAACAGGGACTAGCCGGAGTTCCGTTGGGAGACCCGGGGAGAGATGATGGCAGAAGCTGGCAGATGATGGGTCAGCCGATAAGGGAACTCCCCTCACCGACCACCTCATTCCTTCTGCTGCTTCCCCTCACGGTCCCCATTCCTCATTCATCTGCCTGCAGCTCTCCTCCATCTTTCTTACACCTACTCGTCTGACATCCATCAGCCACGAGGAGGAACTGCGCTTGTCCATTCCTCACTGGCTATTCGTATCAATTTTTGTTGTTCAGGAACAGTAATCCACCCCCCTATCTTATCACTGCTCATTGATCAGCTACTGACCCTTCTTCGATGCAGGTGACATGACCATCCGATCCATGAAGTTTACTCCAGAGTAAGCCATCACCAATACCAGCAGCAGAGCTCACTTCATCGTTTTATCTACAAATATCATCACTTCTTCTATCTAAACAACTAAAGCTGACCTGTCAGGGTTCTGCTCGGAGCCCCTAGGCGCTCCGGACCAGTTCCGAATGCCTCAGGCACCCTTGCTGTCTACACTCAGACAACCTACTCGTTCGAATCTCACTCCAAGACGAACGAGATCCGCGTTCTGGATATTGCTACTGGTCGGTCGGCTCTGATCACCAACGACGCCGGCGCCAGCTGTCCGCAGTGGCTGGGTGACAGCAACCAGCTGGTTTGGCTCAAGGCCAAGGCCAACGGCAATACCAGCTTTATTGTGGGGGATGCACGTGAGGCAGACAAGACGTACACGGCGGGAACGGTCCCTGGCCCAGTTTCCGATCTCAAGGTTACGGTCGTCGAGCCGGGCAAGATCGGCTTTGCTGTGACTGGTAAGGCTAACCCTGATGGGACGCTTCATAATCCGCATGATGCAAAGAAACCAATCAGCACCGGGAAGCTCTTTACGTCGCTCTACGTGAGACATTGGGACTCGTACATCGAGCCTCAGAAGAATGCCATCTGGTATGGCTTGCTGCAGCGCGCCCCTCTGTCGCCAGCTACCAGGCAAGCGGGCAAGTACTCCGTGTCAGGACTGACGAACTTGATTTCGGTCAGCGGTCTTGCGGGTGTTGAGGCCCCTATCCCGCCATTCGGGGGCACCGGCGATTTTGACATCAGCCCCTCCGCAATTGTCTTCGTGGCGAAAGATCCGGACCTTAACCCTGCCACACACACCTCCTGCTCCTGCTACTACTGCCCTATGTTTTCATGGACCGGTGTGAACGCATTGGAGGCCAAGGTCTGCGCTGTAAAGGGACTCGAGGGTGCCATGTCTTCACCGATCCTCACTTCAGATGGCAGCTCGATTGTTCTTCTCGCCATGCGCGAAGACGGTTACGAGTCGGACAAGAGACGTATCTTATATGTGCCAAACCCCTGGAACGGCGAAATGATCGAGGTGTTTGCCTCCGCAGACGGAGAGGGGTTGTGGGATTCCAGCCCGTCTGGCCTGACGTTCTCGAATGACGACCAGTCTTTGTTCATTCAGGTCGAGGAGTATGGCCGTGGCGTGTTGTACCAGCTTCCTATGGCTGATATTCGCCATGCGACTCCGGACAAGCTAAAGAAGATCACTGATGCGGGCTACGTCACGGACGTCTATCCCGCATCTAAGGATTCGACAAAGCTGCTCATTTCTAGCACTAGCTTGGTGGATAATAGCGTCTGGTCCATTGTCGATCCCGAGTCTCCCAGCGACGTGCGCGTTATCTCCTCCATCGGTCGCAACGGTGCTGTCTTCGGACTCTCGCCCTCGCAGGTGGATGAGATCTGGTACCGAGGAGCGAACGACACACCCGTCCACGCCTGGGTTGTGAAGCCCTCTAACTTCAAGCCGGGCAAGAAGTACCCGTTAGCCTACTTGATCCACGGCGGGCCTCAGGGTGCCTGGTGCGATCAGTGGAGCACGCGCTGGAATCCGGCGGTGTTTGCTGAGCAGGGCTACGTGGTGGTTACGCCCAATCCCCGAGGCAGCACCAGTTACGGACAAAAGTTTACGGATGAGATCCGTGGCAACTACGGCAGCCTGCCATATATAGATCTCGAGAAGGGGTTCGATTATATTGAGAGTAACCTGGAGTACGTCGACACATCCCGTGCTGTGGCGCTCGGTGCGTCATTTGGCGGTTACATGGTCAACTGGATCCAGGGGCACCCACTGGGCCGACGATTCAAGGCTCTGGTGACGCACGATGGAATATTCAGCATGACGTCGATGCTTTCCACCGAGGAGCTCTACTTCCCTGTGCGGGATCTCAAGGGCCCCTTGTGGAAGGTCCCTGAGAACTGGGAGCGTTGGGACCCGTCTCGACACACCGCAAACTGGCAGACACCGCATCTGGTGATCCACAATGAGCTGGACTACCGGCTGACGATCGCAGAGGGTCTTGCTGCCTTCAACGTGCTGCAGATGCGGGGAGTTGAAAGTGCGTTTTTGACTTTCCCGGACGAGAACCACTGGGTGCTCAACCCGGAGAACTCGCTCATGTGGCACCACACCGTGCTCAACTGGATCAACAAGTATGTGGGACTGCCGCCGGCATCGCGGGAATTTGCAGAGTTTAGCACGACGAAGCAAGCGTCGATGGAGCGACGACTCCAGCAAGTGACGTTGGATGGGGCCGCCAGCTGAACACTGGCTCTGTATGGATTAGTGTTTAGTAGTATATTCAACGGAGCCAAATACGAGGTCATATGCTCATCTAGCGATGCTTTGTCGGCATTGTCCAATGCCTTTATAACACTATAACAGGGTGTAGCTACTGTTTCGCACTGCACCATACATAGCTATCAAGCGGATACGAACAATGGAGCAAGATGAGGCGGGAAATACCATCTCTTTATGCAACAATGCGCCCACAAAGACCGGGTGATGTTATTGTGCAGAGACAAGGGGCCGGCGACCCCCGTTTCAAGTTTTTATAGTTACTTTCAGAGTACATTGTAGATGCAATCAACAAAGCAGTAAAGGTATATAATTACATCTTGTTCCTCGAAGTACCAGTAACTATCTCTACGAAGGACAGGCAATATACTACCAACTCAGAGAGTCTGTTGACAATGAGCAAGCGTCGCATCTCAGAAACTATATCACCATCTCCTGATCCATCACCGGCAGTATCCCCAGCAGCAGCATCGGCACCAGCACCAGCACCTAAACGACGCCGAATGCGACGACAACACCACAGACAGTATTTATCCGTCGACCCTCCATCTCCGGAGGACTACTACCACCACCACGCATCACCTACAACTACCACCCCGGTAGTATCACCTACTATCCCACCTGCACCCTCCTCCCCTCCACCACCACCGCCACCACAACCATCCTCACCACTACCACCAAGAACAACCCCCCGATATCGACACATCCTCCCCAAACCAGCACCACCACCACCACCCACCTCGACCCCCTCGTCCCAACCCCCAAAAGATCATCTAAAGAAGAGAGAGAGAAAGAGCAAGAGTAAACACCACCCCCACCTCGCCCCCATCCTGCGCCACCTCCGCACACCCCTCCACCCACTCGTCTCCAGCACAACCGGTCACGAACACCCGGACTTCCCTCTCTCCCTACTGCAGTACAACCTCCTCACGTCGGAGCAACTCGACAGACTCGCTGTGCATTTCCATCAGGTGCATCCGCCGGTCCGTGGCTCGTTCTGGTATCCGGTGAGGATTGTACCGTGGCTTAGATGGGATGATAGTGATGGTGGTAAGGGGGGGTATGTGGGGGATGGAGAGGTGGGGTTGGAGGTGAAGAGGAGGAGGTTTGGGAGGTTTATTGGGTTGAGGGGGTGTGAGGGGGATTATCATCATTCTAGGGGGAGGAAATTAGGGAGGAAAGGGAGGGGGAAAAGGGAGGAGGTTGAGGAGGGGGAGATTAGAGAGGAAGAGGAAGAAGTTATGGTGGATGAGGAGGAAGAGGAAACGGCGGAGGAGATGTTGGCAAGGATGGAGAGGGAGTGGTTTGAGGCGATGATGAGGGCGAGGTATGAGGGGGAGTATGCGATGAGGTGGAAGATGGGGAGGGGGTGATCATTTACTTACTACTAGTAATACTATCATTTGTTATCATGATTGGTTTTGTCATGAGTGTTTGTATATATATATAATGGCGTCCTGGTGAACTTCATTGTTGGAATAATGTTTTGGCAAAGCTACTAATGCCCCATCCCTCTCGCCCAATTCTCCTCCACGATCCGCCAGTACTTCTCGCGACTGTGCATTCGGAACGACTTCCCCCATTTGATCATCACCAGGAATACTGCTGCGCATGCCATGCCCACGAACGCAGCGGATATAAAGCAGTTTTGGTATCCGAGGTGGTTTACCCACGGTGTTATTCTATTGCAGTTAGCTTGGGAAGACACCACCGTGGAAGGATAGGGGAGGCGGGGAATACCCATAGCCCATGGCAAACGACATGGTGTTCCGAACTAAGATCACACTCGCCATTGCGTCCCCGCTCAACTCCCGGTAGCTGTCGACCAGGTAGTTGACGCTCAGCGTGATACCGCACGTGTTCGCCAACGCCAGCAAACACATCGCTACGATGAGTCCGAACCAGTGCACTTCGTGCGCAGCGCCTACGCCCCAGAGCAACAGAGATCCTGGCACGAGGAGAAGACAGATGGCGAATGGCCACAAGCGCTGCTCGGCTTCCATGACTCCGTTGTTGCGTCGCGCCAGTCGGACGGTGAGCCAGTCGCTGAAGCGGCCGGTGAAGAGGGAGCTGTTGCTGTTAGTTGGTTTATTATATACTTGGGGAGATTTGGGAGAACTCACGCTAGTATTGTACCCACAATGCAGGATAGATAGCTAAGTCCGACCATGGCAGAGCTATGCAAGTTAGCATAATGCATGATTTAGATATGAAGCAACCGACCTGAAGTTATAAGGTGCGCCGCCCAAAATAATAGAAGCCGTTCCGTTCAGCACATTGAACCAGATAAGGTATGAGCCATAGGAAAACCTGTTATGGTTAGCTATAATAGAACCAACTGTTGCGGCAAACATACCCCGCGTAGAATACCACCGGCCAGCTCAGATAATACAATGTGTGGTAGAACCGGCGGAACATATTGTTCCTCGGCAGTCTGGGTCCTATAAGCGAGAGTTTCTGAAGATACGTCTTCTTTGGATAGATCACCCCGCATTCTGTGTCACTCTGCTGTGCCACATCAGCAGGACGTTTCTCCTTCTCACCCTGCTCGGACGTGCGCGACGAAGCTTCTGTCGAAGTCACCTCGGCGACTGATGGCTTCTCGCGCACGTAGTTCGTCTCCTCCATGAAGAAGAACAAAAATACAATGCTAAAGGCGCAGAAAATGCTGGGCCAGTAGAACACCCATTGCCAGCCTTGGTACTGGGCGATGAAGCCGCAGATGACCGGGGCGAAGTAGTTGCTGCCTGCCAGGAAGAATGCATATAGCGCCATGTATGTTCCCCGCTCATGGGTAAAGTACTGAACTGTCAGCTTTGTCTGATAGTATGGAATCGGATGGACTTACCACATCAGTCACTGTTACTTCTGGGAGAGCTTCAATGGGAGCCGTGAAGAAACCCGAAAGGATACTGCGTGCGATCCATTGACCGTTGGTGTGGATGTAGGGACTGTCAGAGTCAGTAATCAAAATATGCCTATCGCTAAATGTGAGAACGTACCCCCACATTGAAGTTCCCTGTAGAATACATTAGTTCTGGTAATGTTGAGATCCCAGGGTACATACCAAGATGCCGACTAAAGAAAGTATATATGTCAAACGCTTGCCATACTGCAGCGCTAGTGGCTGCCAAAACAAAAGCCCCCATCCGGCGAACAGAAACATATACCCCGTTCCCTCATTGAGAGTATCAACCGACACACCGGTTGCATCGGAGAGCTGCGTGAGCACCGAGTAGACGACCGAACATGCAATACCAGCAAACAAAGTGTACCTGCAGGTCTCATGTTAGTCCCTGCATCCACTAGATCAACTTAATAGACTCATCCTGCAGACATACACGCTCACACAGATGGTAGACAAGGTCTTCCTCCATGGGGCCCAGTTCAAGGGATCATCGGGGTCATTGGACGGTTCCGGAATGAGAACGATGTCACTATCGCCGCGATCCGCATGACGGGTGGCAAGGACATGCTCCAAATCCACCAGCGTCACGGTGCCCGGAATAGCAGTCCGATCGAGGCCTGGAGTCATTTTGGTAGATACTGGATTAACCGCACAAGTCGTTCATAAGAGAGAAGAGGAGGATAGAGAGTGGGGAGATGGGGAGGAATGAAAGGAAAGGAATGTAACGTCAATGACAGCAGCAGGCGAGGTGGTCGAAGGCTGTTTATCAGAAATACTCCGAAAACGACCAGAACAAATCAAGTCAAAGCGTCGGCAAATAGCAAATATGCCATCCCCGCTGCAAGACCCAATCCCTACTAGCAATGCTAGTAGATAAAGAGTAAGTCCATATCGATGTCCGTCAAAAGGTCCACCAGCCTAGCTGGTTCTGTTATCATCATCCACCAGATAAGCAGGCGGAAGACATTCCGTTGTGCAGCAAGGAGACAGACTGACAACCGCTCAATTGTTGGCTCTGAATAGACGCTCTCTGTCCAGCTGATAACTAAAGAAGCCTGGGATCCACCTGTGCTATCTCCTCCCAGCAGATCAATCCATTGATGGCAGCTGGATAAGTTGGATAACCACCCGTCCGGCATGGAACTTCCCCGCGCAGGGCCCATTTAACTCCATCCAGATGTCATCCATCGCTAACCGGTTTAGTTGCTAAAGCGAGGCGCGGGGCTGTCGGCAAATCGTATCTCGCAGGCTGATCGGGATTAGCCTAGGCTGCTTTATTGGAAGTCCAGGAAAAGACCGTTGATAGCAGATGTTACTGGTGCATCGCTCCGATCGTTTCTCTTCGATGGGGACAGATGTGATGCTCACGGACTTACTCCGCTTTAAACATGGGCCCCCTCCAGCACGGATCACAACTGGACAGAGCCATGGTAGTCCTTGTACTCCGTTCGGGTGGACTCAGCTAGCTACCTTATCAGCTTTGTTGAATAATGATCTGATTCGTACTTTTCTCGATGGGGATCACCAGGCTAACGGGGGGATATCTGGTGTGCCGGAATCACTCTACGAATGGGCCAGAACAAGCCCAGATCATCGTCAACCCATGGGATGCCCCCAGATCTTATCAAAGATACCAAGGATCCTCCAAACCGATCATCTCTACGCCGGGTGGCCCCCAATAGACAAGGAGAAATGGAATCAAACTGCCGCCTGCAGCTAATATTATTCTGGTATCAAGTTCACGAATCTGGAAACCACAGCAGAGAATCTTCGATGACAATCCCAAATAACCACAGACAGAAACATGCAGGAAGAGAGAATGAGGTGATATGTGCAGATCTGGCTGGTATAATACAATCTGGCCAGGGCCAGACAATTCCGCACGAGTTCAACCCGACAGGACCAGGCCCACCAGCTGACTCACGACAGGACTCAAAACAGGTAGACACTGCAGCCCACTAGCTTGAACCACTGGCAATGTCATCCTCCTCAGGAAGATCCTTGATAACATCTTTCATGATCTGAATCAGCTCATCAATGTCAGGTCGGTCTGCAGGCTCCACCTGCAGGCACTTGCGGACCACGTCCTTTACGGGCGCGCTGATCTGCATCGTGTTATCTTTGCGGCTATCATCGCCACCGGCCTTGCCCTTGCCCTTGGTCGCACTCGATTTCTCGTCGGGGAATCGCCAATCACCACCCAATACACACATGCTCAAGCTGCCACCTGTCTCTTCGCTGCGGGCTTCGAAGGGGCTCTTGCCCACCAGACAGGCGTAGAGCGTGCATCCTAATGACCAGATATCCACCTTTGTGTCAATAATCGAACCCGTCTTGACGTCGAACAGTTCGGGTGCCCGATACGGCATCGTGCTGTGTTCCGCAGCAGTGTCTTGGACGGCCAAGGCGAGCGACCGGGAGGTGATGGCAATGGGGCTGGGTGCTAACGATCCGAGATCCATGAGAATGGGTGTACGGCCATCATCGGCGATCATGATGTTTCCTGCAAGCAAACATTAGCGCATAGTAGGTACAATAGGAGCAGCAGCCGTACCGGGCTTGATATCCCGGTGGGCATACGGGCGAAGATCGCCGTCTTGCACGCCCTCCTGACTTATTGTGACCTCATCATCCATCAATGGCTCGTTCTCTTCTTCTTCATCCACATTTTGGCTGGTGCGTCGCTTCGGTTTCGGCATCCGCATAGCAGTGTCCGCATCTGCCTCTGCACCCTCTCTCCTCACAGCTTTAGCCTTGCGTGTAGGACCCGTACCGCTTTTCACACGGTAGAGATGCATCGCTCGAAGCGCATTGGCAACGCCGAGCATCAGCACCATCAAGCGCTTCTCCGGGAAGCGGGAATGGTTGACGAGGTTCGCATTGATGGCATCTTGTAGGTTACCCCGTTGGTAGTATGGTAGGAGAATGTAGACCGTCTTCGATCCTGCGTCGCCGCCATCGGCGCGGAATTTCGAGCCGGATTCGGTGGACACACAGTGGTCGATGGAATGAATGATGTTGTTCTGGGTAGTGAACAGATTGTAGGCCTCCACTTCCTTCAGCGCCTGGGAAACGGACTCCTGACCGAAGGGACACCGGATCTTCTTTAGCGCAAACAGTTCCGAGGTCGATTTGTCCTGAACGAGGTAGACATAAGAGAAACCACCCTAGCATGATGCGTTTATCGTCAGCATCGCGCATTCCGGGTGTTGTGCAGTAAACCATTAGCCCGAGGCAATCAATCATACCTCACCGAGGAGTCGGAGCAATTTAAAGCTACGATTGTTGATCTTTAATTGCGGCGTGCTGGGGAAACAGCACATGCAATCTGTGAAGTTGTAGAGAAGATCGAAGAAGTATTGCGCCATGGTGGATGGAGGAGCACGCCGGTGTAAAGAAAGCTATTCCACAATGCAGCTACAGGAAGCTGATTATTGAGCCGCGATAGCTGTAGGGGACGGGGTCCCCGTGGCGACTAGGAGGTGACTACGCGGCACTATCGTTCTGACGGCTGGGATCCACCCCGACGATGGCGCAGGCGCACAGGCAGCAGAAGAAGCCGGCGGAGCAAGGGAGAGGGGAAGAGCAAATGATCCGAGGCCCTTGAGCAGATGGAATGTACAAAGTAAGGTCCAGCGGAGGAAGGGAATGAGGAGATGAATTGGGGAGGTTGAGGGAAGAGAGAAGAGCGTGAACCGATTAATGAATACTTTTTTAGAAGCCGCGTGTTCAGACCGGAGTCGATATCCGTGGACTGACTTGAGGCGGAGTTAGTGAGTGAGTGGATGCAACGAGAGCCAGTCGATGATGTGGTGAGATGGAGAACCTGAGGCATGAAAAGGCATCCACTAGCCATGCGTTAGTCAGCCCGCCAAGGAGCTGGTGGTAAACTGTTACTTTTCTGTGGGTAATACATACCAGTACATACTGATACAGAATACTCAGAATGGACAGTTTCGTATGATTAATGCAGGTATGAGCATGTATGCTGTAAATACATAACACCCACTCGGGCCGGTGGGGCAGGCCACCCGCCGAAAGAAGCAACCCATGGTTCGTGTGTTTATTGTGGCCGAGGCCGCTGCGATGCGAAGATGGAAGAATAATTGGTCTTCGACGGCCAACTGTGACCAACTAGACGGTGTGAAAGGGTCCCCTGTCCCTGCTAGCATGACGACACAGCATTGGCCGTTCAACCTTAGCAACTGTTTTGCTTCTGTATTTCACTCCCTGAGGCAGTGACTGACTGAACAATTCAGTCTCTAGTCCATCTCTTGCTATCCACCGGACGGATTGGCTCTTTCTCTTTTCCGTCCTTCGCTGCCCAACTGAGGCAAACGCTGGACGGCATAAGGAAACAAACCCTCCGAGCCTCTCCTCCTCGCAGCTGAACCCCAGCATCCAGCAAACACCATGACGACTGGCCTATGATCAGTCACCTCTCCAACCTCCCTACTACTTCTGCAACCACCCCTTTCTAAACGCATTCCTTAAATCCCGCCGTCGCAAGTTCTCTAAAAGCTCTCCCCCTCCTTCGTGCGGTATAAGTCGACTTCATTTCCACCACCCCCTCTATTTAGCGCAACCACCAGTCGTCCCATCCCCCCATCGCTATGGCGCCCCTCGACGACGTCCAGGTGGGTGACCTGGTCAATGTCCCCGGGGGTATGTTTGGGACGGTCAAATATCTGGGAAGTGTTGCGGGCAAGCCGGGAAAGTTTGCAGGCATTGAGCTGGCGCCGGAGCATGCCAGACGAGGCAAAAACAATGGAGATGTCGAGGGCAGGCGATACTTCTCTACGTCTGTCCCCGGCTCAGGGATCTTTGTGCCTATGAACAACAACAAATACGTCACCAAGCGCTCGTCTGGTCCAACCTCGACAGTGAGCACCGGCCCTCCAACCCCCTCCCGACCGGTCAATTTCAGCAAGTCCGTTGGCCCTGGTCCCGCAATGCGCCCACCACGCGTCCGACGCCCTTCCCTCCCCCGCCCTGAATCTCCTAGAGGACCTCCGCCGTCCAAGCTCACCTTGACCGGGCTACGCACGCCCTCTTCAGCCTCCCGCGCCGCTCCCTCCAGCACCTACCCCCGCAGTCCTATCAAAGCCCCGTCGCGCGCCTCTGACCGCCCTCCCTCGCGAGTCAGCCGGGTGAGCACAGAGGATGATGGTCCGGCATCTAGAGTATCTGAAGTTCAGCAATCAGCGATGGCAGCAGAGGTGCAAGAGCTGAAGGATCACATCAAGAGTCTCGAGAACCAACTTCTCGACCGAGATAAGCAGCTAGATGAGCAAGCTCATACCCTGTCCGACTTTCAGAGAACTCTGGAGGAACTGGAGGGGTCAGATTCGCTGTCCATCCGGGCCCAGTTGCGTGAAAGAAACGAGAGAATTGCTCAGCTGACGGCCGAGTTTGACTTGCACCGCGCCGACTTCCGAAGCACCTTGGATACTTTAGAGATCGCTGCTTCCGAGACGGAGCGAGTTTATGAGCAGCGCCTGGACGAATTGATGCAACAAAATAGAGAGCTTCAGGACCGCGGGGAGGATGTCGAGGCTGTTGCGCGACAGCTCAAGCAATTGGAAGAATTGGTGTCGGAGCTCGAAGAAGGTCTGGAGGACGCCCGGCGTGGTGAGGCCGAAGCCAGGGCAGAAGTTGAGTTCTTGCGCGGGGAAGTCGAGCGGACAAAGCTCGAACTACAGAAGGAGCGGGATTCCAAGGATTCCCATGCAGCTAGTGATGGGCCGCAGTACTCGAAGGAACTGGAGCAGAAGGATGATGAGATCCGTGGTCTAAAAGCAATCATCCACTCCTTGAGCCGTGGCGACCCAGATTTGCATGCCCTGCAACAGAATGGATTTGGGACGAGCCCGCCGAACCATGATCCCGACCATGTGGCTCACTTGGAACAACGTGTCGAGGAATTTGAACGCATCGCCGAAAGAAAGACATACCGCATTGAAGAACTAGAACGCGAGCTCCAGCAGTTGCAGCTGAATGGTGAAACACACGCTCCCGGCTCCGCGGTCTCTTCGTCGCCCAACCACCAAAAGTCCCCCAGCGTCAATGGGAAGCTTACGAACGGCCATGGAATCAACCATGCGCATCGGCTTTCGGATCGCACAGTCGTTCCCCACGACTGGCAAGATTTACCTCCGCACGAGGGACAATATCAGGCCTACTCTACCCGCCACCGCGGTATTTCGGATGCTTCTCATCATCGTCTGGAGACCATGCACGAGTCAGACGGCCGCTCGGAGGACGGTGGCTCCTTGTGGTGCGAGATCTGTGAAACCGGAGGGCACGATATTCTGACCTGCACCAACATGTTCGGCGCAGAAAGTAAGAAGGTCCCTGATGCTGCCGAGGCACCCCATGACGACAGCTCTGTGGATGAAAAGCCAACTCCAGAGGAATCCATGGGTGAACCGTCCACGTCCTCACATGAAGAGGAAGCGACTCCTCAGAAAACGGGCCGTGATGCTGTGATGGAGGGACTAAGGGAAGCGAACAACTTGTCCGCTTCTTCCTCAACCTTGGGCCCTGTTGGCGGCAAGGAGAGCGGCGTCGTTGACGAGTCTAAGTGGTGTGCTCTTTGCGAGAGAGATGGCCACGAGAGCATTGACTGTCCATTTGATGATTGATGGAAGCGGAATGCCGATGCATGAGATTCATGGCAGCTTAATGACCGAATGGTCATGATGCTACGTGCACCGATGATTGAGATGTGTGTCCTATATGTCGGCTTAGTGGACCTGTCATTTCTGGTATTCTTCTGTTCAAGGCGCACTATGTCTAAACACATTTTCAGGATATCCTTCTTCTTGTTCATTCACAAACAACATAATCATGTTGGCATTTTCTGGTCTTTCTTTTCTACCTTGGCTGTATGAAACCGCATAGCGCGCTTTGCAAGGGTTGCTGATTGTTCAAAGCGGCTGCATTACATTCCTGTGCCACTACTCTACTAGCCTTTTTCTTATTTCTGTCACATTCTTTAGACTGTTTTACTTGCCTGTTTTGGTCACAGCGGCTTCTTGGCTATGTGGCTGTTTCTCTATCTTTTATATTCCCCTATCCAGAACTGTGCCTGATACCTCTTTAATTATACATTCGAATCAGAATCCACTTTCCACGTATACCCTGCCTCGGTAAACACCTAGCATCATACTACTGGTAGTTTAGAAAGCAGACAATAGATACTTTTACACAACTACTATTACATCCAACCAACCAACCATATATATCGTCAACAGGGTATCTCTTCACCACAACACCGCCCACCACTCGACTCTTAACTAACCAGCTCCCCAATCAACAAACCAGCCCTCCCCCAAAGGAGTCCTACAACTAAGGCTGCACCACCTCCCCCTCCTCGTACTTCGACCTCGCGACAACCCCACAAGCCTTACAAGTCCTCTTCTCCTCATCGCCCGCAAACTCCTCGACAACCTGCTTAACCTGCGTCCCCAAATCCGTACAAACAAACTTCTTCTCCCACACCACCTCCCCGCAATCCTTATTACGACAATACCACCTCATCGCATCCACCGCCCCTTCCTTCCTCGGCTGCTCCATCACCACGCCCACCGTATCCTTGAACCGTACGGGACAGTGCGGCGTGTTCGCCGGCAGCAGGAACAACGATCCTTCGTGGATCGGGATGTCTTGGAAGGTGGGCGGAGTGGTGGATTCGTCGACGGTGCGGAGGAGCATGGAGCCTTTGTATTGGTAGAAGAATTCGGGGGTCGTGTTGATGTGGTAGTCTGTTCGGGCGTTGGGACCGCCGACTATCATTACTGTGTAGCCTTGGGTGGCGGGTGAGGAGGGATGGTAGACGCAGTAGTTGTTTACGGGGGGTTGGAGGAGGTGGGAGTTGGTTTCGAGCCTATTATAATAAAGTTAGTAATGTCCATAGGTGTGTATTTGGGGAGGGGGTGGTTTGTGTTGGGTGTGTTTGTTTGTAGCTGAGAGTAATGCGGGGGAGGGGTAGTAGGAAGTAGTAGTTTGTAGTGGCGAGGTGGAGGTGGATTACTGTACCATTTGGGAATGTTGAGTGCTGGTGGAAGCATGTTGACGATGTGCTGTATCTGTGTGTGTGTAGTATTGTGGACTGATAGAGTGAGGATAAATATGGACAATTACCAAAGTAATCGAAGAAAGCAAGTGATTATAAATGCAGATCAGATCAACCCAACCCATCGCATCTATCCGGTGAAGGGTCCTTATCCGTCCCGGAGATAACCGCGGATTAACGCCGCGCTCGGTGCCGGAACAACTCCCCCCCGGCAGATTTTCTCGATTCGCTTTTTGCGGTCCAGGCGAGCATCTGGCGCCGACGAAGATTTCGATCTACAGATTGTTGATTGACCACGGAGATTTCGCAGAGTCTCCACTACAGCTACAATGGCGTCAACATCTCAACCTCCTCTTCGGTTCACTTCCCACAAGAACTTCGTGTACCGTCTCGTCTTCGCTACGTTGACCGGCCGCACGATTCAAATTTCCCAGATCCGTCCTTCGTCGCCTACGAATCCCGGTCTCGCTCCTCATGAAATCTCCTTCCTCCGTCTCCTGGAGTCCATTACCAATGGCTCCCAGATGGAGATCTCGTACACCGGTACTATCCTTGTTTATAAGCCCGGTCTCATTACAGGCAGTTCGCCAGGCGTGGCCACGAGCAGCGGAGGTGTCGTCAGGCACGAGCTCCCTGCAGGGTGCAATCGTGGTGTGAGTTACTATCTGCTGCCGCTCTGCCTTCTGGCACCCTTCTCCAAGGCGCCCATCAAGGTCCTTTTTACTGGTCCAGGTGTGATCACCTCGTCCACCCCGACTGGTGACATGTCCGTGGACAGTGTGCGGACTGCCATTCTCCCTCTCTACAACCAATTTGGAATTTTCAACAACATCGAGCTGCGTATCCTACGGCGATCGAACCCTGGACCCAATGGCAGAGGCGGTGGTGGAGAAGTTCAGCTAGTATTTGGCCACCAGCTCCGGCTGCCGAAGACCCTGCACCTCATGAACGCCGGTCGCATCAAGAAGGTCCGCGGTGTGGCCTATGCCGTCGGTGTTTCCGCATCCAATAACGCAAGAATGATCGAAACTGCCCGTGGTGTTCTGAACCCACTCGTCCCTGACACCTATATCTTCTCTGATGTGTCGTCGGCGCCGCTCGTGCCTGCCCCCGAGAAGAGCAACCCCTCCGCGAAAAAGAAGATTGGTCTTGGTTTCGGACTCTCGTTGGTCGCTGAGTCGTCTACTGGCTGCCTGTTCTCCGCCGATGTGGCGTCGCCTCCCGCAGGCGGCGAGGCGCCTGAAGACATTGGGAAGCGATGTGCTTACCAGCTACTCGAGGCCGTTTCGAAGGGAGGTTGCGTTGCCCCTGCAGCTGTTCCGACCATGCTAGGTCTGATGACGATGGGATCGGAGGATGTTGGACGAATCCAAGTTGGTCGGGACGTGATCGCCGAGGAGAGCACCATCCAGCTGGCCAGGGACCTGACCAAGTTCGGTGCTCCGGGTTGGGGTCTGAGAGACGCGAGTGGTGAGAATGAGAATGGGGACGTGATCATCAGTGTGGTTGGCCGCGGCATTGGCAACGTTGGCCGTAAGGTTGCTTGATTGTTGAAGACCCAACATCAGCCTCACATCAACTCCGCGGTCGGCTGTTTCAGGTATTACCGACCTTTTTTCTGGTCGGTTGGTCTGTCCAGTGGAGCTTCAAGGGCCCTGTCACAGCGTGGTTTCAGAGTATGGCCAGTTTGCATCTGATTGCCCAATGTGAGCGCCGGGTACTGCCCCTGGCGACAGCGGTGTATCACGCAGGCGCAAGGGAAGGGCAATGGTTTCATCTCCACTGAGGGGAAAAGCGCAGACCACGTCATTTCTAATAAAAGCTGCATTTCGTCTTCGACCTCCGACTTTTACCTTCTTTATCGCCAAGTTGCATCGCTCACTTGGGTCATGTGCCACGTGGCTGAGATTGGCGCCCAGCCGACAGCTGTTCGCCGCACACCGCAGCCCGGATCTTGGCCTGTTGGATTCCCATCTCCTGGCAGGGCAATCTGATGCTTCGGACTGGCGAGTGGGTGTTCTCGTGAGGCACTTTGTTGTTCATATTTCCGTGATACCCTTTATTTGTTTGGTATGTGGGCTTCCACCTCACCGCTGGGAGCCACTCGAAGATGGAATGGGATTGGCAGTTCGAAGTAGGGTTTGCTGGCTGCGGCCTAACCGACGTGCTTCATGCAGCAAGTTTAAGTTTCTGAGACGAGAATGGATCGTCGTTCCTGTACATAGAAATAGCATGAATATAAGATGCTCGGCTCCGTCCTGGTTTCTTCCCCGACTTAAGTACTCTCTTGACATGATATAACTCCAGCTATCCACACCGTCGCCTTCCCGCCCACCTCATTAGGAACATAGCTCGCCTACGAATCGAAGAATTTGCCATTACGTTGCCAGAACCGTCGATGCCCGTACACCCGTGACCACGCCGTCGACATGGATTGCGATACCCGATGCTTCGACTTGACGCTCGTCTTTCCGATTCTTCTAAAGCTGACACCAGATCGATCGTTCGTTTAACGATGCTGTTCGAAAGGCAGCCGACTTTGCGAGAGACCGATACCAGATGGATTGTCCAACCTTGACCGCACTTGCTCGTCCTTGGAGTGTCATCCCGGCTTGGATGCAGTTTTCCCGCCTCTCCATGCAGCTCGAACCTTCCCGAAGAGGAAGTCGCAGTTCTGCATCTGCTCCTTCCCTGCCGGTGTCTGTATGCCCGTCTTCGGCCTAGTCTCTCTGGCGATAATGACGGCCTTCCCCTCCCCCTTCTTTCTTTCTCTTCTTTCTCCTATCCTCCTCTCTTCCTTCTTCCCTTTCCAATCTCATTCTCTTCTTCCACTTTCAACCTTCCTCGCCCTTACTAATCTGCTTGACTGCCATCTCTTCACAGGTATTCCTCGCCGTCGTTCCTTCCCTGTTTCTGCTTCGAGCGATCTTATGAACATGCTGCTTGGGTAAGTGCTCGTTCAGGTCTGGTTGGGCTGACCGCCGTCTAGGCTCTTTTGGTGGGCATACTGAGGGATTTGACCTTGTCTAGCATGGGTTCCATCAGAGCTTCTCTGGTGGTGCTTGTGTGACGGCAAGGTAGTTAGCTACTAACTGAGCAACAAAGCAGGGATAGTTGCGTAACACCTCCTTTCTGAGCATAAGCCGCCCCGTGGGCGGGCCCAGTAAGTGACAGAGCTTGTGAGTCACAACCAGATGCTTTGCTGTTTCTTTTACTGACAGTCACCAGGCTGGCTAAAAACACTCAGCCCACCACGCAGGCTAGCTCCAAAAGGGAAATGCTCTGGTTAGTCCTCTTGCTCATCATATCATGCCTCTCTAACATAATCAGTGCCTTCCACCCATCCTTTTTCTCCTCCCCATTCCTGGCCACCATCGGCCCTTCCTCCTCTTTTATCTGTCCTCCTGTTTCGATGTCTGGCGCTGCGGTCATGCCCAGTAAGTGACAGAACTTGTATGTCATACCTTGTCAGCAGGCTGAGTTCAGAGCTGACTGTTGTAGGCTGGTTAAACATCGTCCGCACGTCAGGCTAGCCTCTACCGTGCATATGTCAGTGCCCTTTGGTCATATTTAGGGAGGAACATACGCTGACTGTTATCATAGCCCAGCACTAAACTGCCTGCCATTTATACCTATCAACATCTCTCTCATATGGCTATGGCTAAAACAAGGCAGTCATCGAGCGCTGGGATATCCCGGTTGATATCCACTGGGGCACCGATTATACACAGGAGGGGACATGACCAAGAGCGAGTACCTGCACAGTGGCAGGCCCAGTAAGTGACAGAGCTTGTAAGTAGTCCTGCCACTTATTTGCAACTAGTACTGATGGCTCTGCAGGCTGGCGAAAACACAAAGAGTGCCACCCCGCAGGGAAGCGAGGAGAGTTAGCCGATAGGTTAGTGAACCAGAACAGATTTCCCAACATACTGGTACTAACCATCTCATAGGGAGACTGATGGTGGTTGGGGATTATATATGCAGATTGGCAACTCTGTATCGTCCTGGTCAAGGTTTCTACCCTACGGGGAGTTTTCCTTGGCTGTAACCCGAATGGGAGGATAGAAATCAATACATAAATTCTAACATGTTCCAATACTTCACATTAGCGTAGCAGTGTTCTTATGGTGCCCTGTAGACCATCGTAGGCTCGATCTTGTCCACTACGTTGCAATATCGACATTGACTCCGTCTCAAACTATCATGCCTCGATATCTGCGAGCTTGAGGGAATTGACAGTATTCAAGGCCACATCCTACTTCACACAGTGAAGCACTGCATATATAGTATAGCATCCTATAGCCCAGATCCAATAAGGTCAAGGAATGTGAATGCAACTGCAGGTTAGAAGAATAAGTTGAATTAAATATAGATATAATTGAATTGAATTGACACATCAGAATTGAATAGTCCATCCTCGACTCCAAATTTTAAAATTATGGCGACTCCACCAACAAACTAAGCAACTTACCATCTTCATCACTGCTACCACATTAGAGAAGCCACCATATTCGCGGAAGTCTCCACACACCCGAAGTTTGACTTTTTTTTTTTTTTTTTTGGATAGAAATGATCAAGAAGTCGTAAAAAAAAAGACATATTTCATCCATATGAACAATATTATGACACTAAGTCAGCTTCCACAAGAGAGTATGATACCCCGAATTCCATTCAGCATTCATTAGACCAGGCAGAGCAATGGTGAAACAGATTGTTCGGATCTAGTCGTGCCTTCAAACAACTGCTGCAGTCCTTAAGACCTGAAACTTGGAACTTCTTAGACCCTCGCGATCTGTCCAGAAATGGAAAACATATAGTGAAAGTATAGATTCGAGATGTCTCACTCATCTGATTAGTGTCTCCTCATTTGATACCGACGAGACACGTTGGACGAACATGCATAAAGGAAAGCTGCAAGAGGACCACCACCAGCTGCCACTGGTCTGTAGTAATCAGAGCATCTTTCTAAGATACTCCAAAACATGATCGGGTAGTGCCCTATAGCTATCCAATTTCCCTCCTATGACAAGGTCCTCTAAACTTGCTTTCCTGTAGCCCTCAACTTCCCATAAATCATCGGGAAGCATCTTCATCATTTCTCCCGTCCCCCACATTTTGCGGCAATAGGCCGGGACAGCGAGATTACTCTCCTTGCTGAGAGAATCCTCAATCCTTTGGTTGATTTCTTCTAAGATTCGCGTCACAATAGAGGGGTCCCTGCCGTTCTTCTCTTTCATGACTGCAGCAATTTCCATGCCTGTTGGTGCAAGCTCTGATAAGGTGATAGTCCTATTCTGGATAGTGTGTATAGGTCTGGTGGTGAATATGTCCACGTATGCAGCTGCTACGTAGTCCTTGGTGCTATAAGGCATTCGCATTGATCAGACCAAAGGGGGCTTTTAGATAAAGGGAGTCTCTGGGTGGTGAAAATGTTAACGCACCACATAGTGACTCTTTCGCTAGCAGAGTTGCCGGTGTATACCAATATATTATTTTGCAAATCAACACCCACTGCCCTATAATTTTTGTAGAAAGTCAGTCACGGCAGAAACATTCCAAGTGGCTCATTGACGACTGACGTTGTACTCAAGGTGAATTCAGCGAAATTTCCTACGTGGATGACGGTAGTTGGAATCCCAGCATCCTTAGAAGCCTTTTCAACATTCGCTTTTGCCTTCATACAGGGCATACGCATTCCCTGCTCACAATAGCGCAGACAGAAATCCGAAGGGGAGAAAAGCTGGACTTTAGTCCTAGGGATGGCTTTCACAAAGCCATACTGTCTGTCGGTTCCCTCGTCTCCAACAAGAGAACTTTGTTGAGACAGATTCATTAGCATAGATCCGAAAAAGTCATATATGCGCAGGAGCTCTTGACTAACAGCACAATGTCTATATCTTGCAAGGCATCAACCAGAGCGTCTTCATCAAGAACGTCGACTGCAATCTTTCTCACATGATCTGGGAGATTGGAAGTGTCTGAGCTAGGGCGGTGCAGAACAGTGATTGGAGCTCCAGAGGCAATTAGGGCAGGGACAACTCGAGAGCCAACGAATCCACGGTGACCATAGACAGCGATACGGTTGAAGGCCATGATTTTTAAAAGACAAGGGGCTCTGGGAAAAAAAGACTGTACGATCGGTGTTGGAAGCTGTTGAGACAGGGCCGGTTTGAACACTTGTATCAAGGAATAAACAATTTCTAGCTGGAGAAATAGGAGTTTATATAACTTCCAACATATAGATCTGCGGGTTTCATAATGAACGTGAGTCACCTTTGTTGCATTTGTAAAAAGAGTAGCCGGTCCACGTCGCATAGACCAACAGGTTCGCAATTTGGCCTAAAGAGGAAGATAGATTACCCCGAAGGGGAATACTACATTGACCATATATTCCCCTTTCAAAGCTAATGTAGCTCATCCGCATTATGAAAGTTTCCTATTTGGGCCATTTCGCGAGGTTGTGGGGATCGATCTGAGTCTCCTCGAATCATTTGAAGTGATGTGCCCACTCTGCCGAAGCGGATCAAACTTAGTCTCAGACTTCATTGGCAACGCATGTGAGGCGAGATTTCCACGTTGTTTATACTCTAATTCTACGTATGTCATTGATACCTAGTATCTATATCTCATTAGATAAAAAGTGGGTAGCGTCCTTTCTTGTGAAACAAGGAATTGCTCCTTGAGCGGGGCAGTGCAGGTGACTCGGCCTTGACCTACTTGACATCGATCATACTACATCGCTAAGATGATACAGTAGAAGAAGCGAAGTCTATAACTTTATTTATAGCTTCGTATTCATGTTATTCCTTTTCAATACGAATAAGTCAACTCAATTTATGAGTCGAATAATACATGCAAATTTATTCCAAGAGTTCCCCCCATCTCATCATTCGCTATTATAATCTATAGCTTTCAATAAGACGATATCGTTCCCATTCAAAACCACCGGCAGATAGTTATGAGAAGCGTCGGCAGGATGCCAGATAGACAATGACAGCCCGCGAAATCCTCGAGCGGAGCTCCTCGAAGAGAGTTATGGTGCCGAACGAATATGCGGGATATTCGATGAACCGGAAAATAGTCCAAGTCAAAGGATATAGAGTAATGGTAGTGCGATGCTGAGAGTAGCCTTTATATAGAGTTGAGAAGTATGGTCGGTTGATGATCGTGTGGCGTGGACCATACTAGAATTCTTAAACAGATATCTCTAGAGATGCCTATTGTCTGTAGCAACGCCCCCCCCCCCAGCATCCTTTATAAGAGGGCAAAAGCGCGGACAAATATGTCCGAAGACTCTTCCTCATCTGAGCCCAGGTTTTGGAAAGACGTTATTGACGGGAATGATTCATCGATCCATTCAGCCGAGAATAAGTTTTTTTTTTTTTTTTTTTTTTTTTTTTTTTTTTTTTTTTTTTTTTTTGCGAGAGTAGCCCTGGCGATCATACATGCCACTTAAAAGGGCTGGGTAAGTCGCACCACGATGGGAGTCGGGTAAGCAGAAGTATCGCTTCAATATTGTCCAAGTCCTTTTAGGGGGCAAAGAGATAGACAAGTCTGTAAGCTTTCACTTGTCTTGACTCGAATTTCTGGAAAGACATGTTTGGAGGAAGCTATCCATGCATCCAACTCCATGAACTCCTGCGTCATTTATCTGACGACAGCGTATGCCGGTTGAGTAGATCGCACCGAGATATAAGGAGCTAATCATTGTAATATAGTAATAATTCGCTTAGGCAAGGCCTTATACCTTTTATAAGAAGCGTATGAACTAGACAGTGGACCCCCAGACTGGAGGGAGCGATCGTAAGTCACCATTCATATTGCTTGGTGAAGTAAATAAGTAAACCGCGGCCCTGGATGAGTGGAGTCTTGCGGGCAGTTTGAAAAGAGGGTAAATCTCATCAAAGGCAACATCAATGATAGAAGGACCGTCCCGAAAAGGGGTATACCATGTATACTCCCAGCGACCGCCGTCGTTTATCGTCTTGACTGGCTTGGATCAAGGGGCGCTAATTCGCAGATCGAGTTGATAAAACGGCCTCATATGAGGCTATTTGCGCAGGCCTTTATTATATAGAGAACGCCATGCGTTTATCTCCAACCGCTCACTCTCACCACTCCGTCGAGCAGGCACCGCGAACCCCCAGTCGAGTATATGAGGCTCATGCAATTTATCCATTCAAAGATAAATTCAATAAAGTAGTGCGCGAATGTTTAACTTATCCGCAACATGACCATGATCCAAGGCTCTTTGGGTCTGGTAGGTGTCTAGACCGTTCCAAAGGTGAGCCAGTCGAGCCTATTAAAGTGGAACAATAATCCATGCCGGACGGTACATCGATGCAATAAGTAACACGGCGCTTCAGTTGGGAGATTCGCCATTCTATTTCCATAGGTACCATCACTTAATCATGATGGTTGCTATGTTTCTGGATCCTGCGTTTTGTTTTAAACCAGGTTATCTGCCTTTTGCTTTGAACTTTGGCGTGATAGAAAGGGAATAAAAATGCCTTAATGCTTTCTCCTTGTCCGCGTTGAGTACGAAAGATGGCTAGAACGTATGCCATTTTCTGTTGCGACGCCAGAAAGAATCTGAGAATATGGCAAAGAGCATCCCGACGAACAGGCTCAGGAAACAAAGACCGTCGCTGCCATAGCTCGAAGCCATATACGCTTTCAAATACCAACTGAAACGTACCGAATAAAAGATAGAAGGTACCCAACAGGATGGCAGAGAAGATGCAGATGTTTAGGAACATCGGCTCTAGCGTCAAAAGTTACACGGACACGCCATGTGCTAGGTACCCCTTTGTCCTCGATATTAGAATGGAGGGAAAAGAGTATCGACAGCTTTTAAGCATGCTTAGAGCTTCATGCTCCGTCCACGTACGTCTCAGGGACTAGGAAGATAAGTCGTAAATATAAGCCCCGTTATCAATAAGTCCCGAAGAAGACCACCATAAGTAGTGGGAAGCGAGTCTCGAGATGACTATCTCGGCCTTTAGGGATCATATAGAGATAAGACCGTTTGTTCGGTCGATAAAGTATCTTCAATATGGTACCATAGTACTTTTAATATAGTACTATGGTACTATTATGGATCATGCCTTTAGGTGTGCAAGCATGCTTGGCAGTAATCGGATGAACCCACATTAGTGCGGGAATACGGTACTATTGTACCTTTAAAGATCATGCCCTTGTTGCTTCGCAGTAATGGGATATTCCAACATTACTTCGTATAGTAACACTGCGTTATTAAAGGGCCATTAAGAAGCCTATTAACAACTTGCCACCATATAGCGGATAAGTTCGCGGCTTTTCTTCGCGGACATTGAGTAGAGATAATATGGTGGCTTGGCCATCCTTTCGATCGAGATATGGTACTTTAGTACCTTTAAACATGATTCGCTTGGGCCACGCCAATTCGCAGTGATCGGATGATACCACGTTGCTGTGTACAACAGCTACTGCTGCGTCGATAAAGGCGCTGAGAAGGCCCAGTGTACCAACTTGCCATTCATAGCGGGTAAGGTCGCGGCTTTTCCTTCGCATGCGACTAAGCGGAGATTATAACGCGTCTGTCCAAGTTATAGATTATAAATAATGTCTGAAGGGCCGCTTCATAAGTTTTTGTCGCGTGTATAGATGATCCTTCAAAGGACGAAGCTGGATGAGTTTTGTCTGCGCGCTGGCTGGTTGGAGGTTCTATGTCGCAAGCCTGATTCCAGGAAGATAAAGAGAGGATAAAGAAGCATCAACCAGGCTCATCGAAACAGGAGTTGCGCAGCTTCCAAGCAGGTCGCTGTACCTTCCAAGCAGCAATGATCAATCAAGCAACTTAGCAAGATTAATGGAGTGTAGACAAGTAGAACCACCACTTGAGAATTTCGTCCGTCGAAATTGCAAGCCCGACCGGCAGCTTAGTGCTTAACAAGCAGAAGTAAGCGGAGAAACATTGAGGCATTCGACGAACGCCTGGGAGACTTAGAAGCGGATTGAAAGACACCATTATGGAAAATCGGCTTCCCTGTCCGTGTGGCTAGTCATGATGTAAGAAGTAGAGATGTTATTGACTAGCCAACGTGGTTCGTGGCTTCCTGTGATTCGTAAATGCTTCCTCTTTATGTTCAGGACTTGAGTTTGTGTAGATAGAGAAACCAGACCACTGTTCTTCAGCCGTTGGAGTCCCATTTACAAGAACCGCAGTCGGCAAGAGGTATCAAATTTGAGCACCCATATTGTAAATAAAGAGGGAAACCCGAGTCAGAGGGAAGACACCAGTTCCCGATCATCAGGAAATATTCCTTGGCTATAAGCTTAATATCTCTTTAAAACATTCGTTGGATCATAGTCTTTGTAAAGTAAAAGTAGAACACCGTTCCGACATGGTGAGGTAGAGTAGGACGAGTCTTGTCAACTTGGCCGAATAAGATGCCATGACACTGTGTTCTTCCTTGGACAATGACTGTCGAGAGAGTAGACTATATTTATAGTCAAGTATAAATCTGGCGTCTTCTCTTCGACCATTTTCTGACCATGAGCCCGATAATAAGTTGATAGAGCTTCTTTTAGAACTGCACCACAGCCAACGCAGTGATTGAACCAGTCAATCGGCAGCGACTGAAGTGCGTGAGTTCGAGGAAAGGTCAATCACTGTAAATTGGCAGGTTCTTTTTTTCACTGGAGTATTGCGTCGAATGTATTGTGCGCATGGTATAACTAACCAGTTCCAGAGTTTTTTGAGGATGTCACTATCGTGGGATGCCCCTTTGAAGTCTGTGGAAAGCTCCAGTCGTGAGCCACAGACACTGCATTTCGACTTCCATGCAGGATCCAATCCGATCTCTGTCCACATGGTTTCTTATTCAATAGATGTGACATTTTGCTTCGCGTAAGCCAAAGAGTGACACAATTTAGGCCCTGTTCTCAGCCAGTATCTGCCGATGTGAGGTGGCATGTTTATATAGAGCTTTGCTGAACTCAGAGTTGAATGACACTGATTCAGCCCCTTCTTGCATTATAGTCTGTTTCTTTGGGCAAGAGGATTTGTTCGTCAACCTTAGTCTCCGGAACTTCGGAACTTCTGGTCGGTTGTTCCATAGTGTGCGACAGAGCTTGACGTTGCTCTTTGTGGTCTGGGTGGAAGTGGGTTCGCTAAGTATGCCAACGACCTTCCATTTTCCTTTTCTCCACACTCTACCACTCACGAGACTCGAAGATCACGGAAGAATGTAAGTGGAACAACGCTAGCTTATTGATAGCCTCGATACTGTGATTAGATCTAAAGGCAATCCCTTTTTTCGGGAGTTAGAACGCTGCACCATCGTATCGGCTGTAGGCTAGATACGTTCTTCCTGTTTGTAGACGGACAGTCGAGGTTGTTGACAGGATCATCCTTGGTCGATATGAGAAAAGCACACTCATTCGAAAGCGATCTCGTCTTGGTTCTATCAGACTGCTGGGCTTTCGATTGGTGATTCAATGCAACTGTCTCCGAAGTTCGAATATTTTCGACCGCATTTTTCCTTAAATTTGGCGTCCACCACATCTAGAAAGGATTGAGTATGTGCATGAGAAAGCGAGGTATAATTGGCACGAAGAGAAGGCCGTCATGCAAATGACTATCTACCATTCTGCTGTCCGCCAAAGATGCAGCACGAGCTTTTTCGAGTTTGCTCGCTTGTTCCACAACAACCTTTCGATAGTAATAGAACAGCGCTTTCAGTGTTGGTATAATATTGTGCAAGCCGTCATTTGTCCAAGTTGTGATCGAAAAGCAAAAGGCAGGGCTATCTTGCTCGCGTTGCTGCCTTGCAATCTTCCCAGTCAAAACTGGCAAATTTAGCATGAAAGATCTTCATGTGTTTAAGCAGCATGTACTGTGTTGCTGTAGGCTGTCAAATTGTTGAGTAGATGCTCAAGTTCTTAACGATGGTAGAAGACACCCGCCCTTACATGGAAGAGTAGAGATAGAAGCGAGGTGCCTCGTCGTCAGATTCGAGCAGGATCTTGTCGAGAATGAACCCAGTCATCGCTGCATTGGACAAGATAGAGATATATAGTCGGTTAAACTTCTCTGGTGAAGTTACTGTCGACCCCCACACATGGTGCAAGCAGCATTGGTGGAACTCTGCAAGCAGTTTCGGAAGATCGTAGCTGAAGTCGATCTTCAATGGTCGCCATTATAGTAAAATCAGAACGAGGAGCGAAGACTGTGTATTATATCCGAAGATAAAGAAGCAATCCATGGAAGATTCTTCGATCGATCGACCGATCGAGACTCTGGAAATAGGTAGGTTAGTAACCACATAGATAGCATCTAGCTGAGCAATAGATAACTTACAGGCGATACAACAGCTTCCACAGGCACCAAGCTTAAGAATATGCTGGACCCCGTCTCGTCTGATCCCTTTTGGCGATCAAACTGCCACCACATGATAAGCTGGCTTCAAAATGAGCCACTCTATATAAAAGTAGGCTATAGGCCGTAGCATGCTATCATGCTTTGCGCACATAAGCCAGAGAACGACATTAATGATGGCCTTGATTTTGTGCCACATTCATTCTTGAAGTGAAGATTATAGTGGAATTCCGACCGATTGTCGTCGTCATCTCCGACGCGAGATATATGAGATACCCATGGTCATTTTTTCTCCAGGAGCGAAATGCTCACTTCACTCTCCAGTGGATATAGTCATTCTGAGCGACCCATTCGCTTCAGAATGATCGATAGCCCAAGCCATAAAGAAGGCTATCCAATGGCTTTAACTTGTGCGTCTGAGCTGAATTGGTTTGTGAAGCGAGTTGGTTGTATTGGCTTTATAAAACCGCGCAGTGAAACGGTAATCGAGGAAGCGCTTTCCACTCGAAAGTGTAATAAAACCTCGGCTAGCTTTCTCTGAAGCCTAAGAAAAGCGCCCCTGTGCTCTTAAGTCATGGCAAAAGCATTGACTCGTTTGAGAGATGAGCTATGAGCGATAGAGATGTAAAGGACGAGCGCTTGTGTTATGACGGCATGGGTTTTATGATCCGGTCGAGTGGTCCCAACGTCGGCGATTTCTCCCAATGTGATAGAGAGATCGCCCTGCTGGGGTTTGTATGCCACCCCAACCACTGCTAATTGCAGCATCGAGAGGCAATTGTATTTGCAAAAGTCTGTTGTGGTAGAAAGATAAGAGCTTTCGCATCATCCAGCATTACAAAGTCATTCGTGATGCGTGTGGGCCATGGCACGGGAGATTGGGTGCTTCCAACTCTCTTCATTGCCTTGGAAAGCCGAATGCGTTAGGCTTTTTGTAGAGATGGTTGTCGCTTTGGGTTTGGTTCTCCTGTGTGTTTGGGATCAGGTGAACTCTTGATCGGCTAGATCTACCTCTAAAGAGTAGGAAATTTTGAAATGTTCCGTAGATGAAAAAGGTACAAGAACACAGGTATGTATTCGTGCAGAATGAGATTAGTAGCCAGTGTCGAAGGGCTAATAATTATTGAGAGTGATCAGAGGACGAAGACATGAAGCCATGGTCGATGTCATCCGCGTTTTTGATCCCAACGTTCAAGCAGGCAATTTAGGTATTTGCTTGAAGTGTTTTCATCCAAATGAGAGTCTGCGTCAAAGGATTGAGAGCGATAACGTCGCCGTCTCGATCATTGATTTCACCAAGCTTTGGCATGCACCGAGATTCGAGCCAACCGCAATATATCTTGCTGCTTCCTCTTTTGCGAAGAATATCGTCGCAACCGAACCATTGGATGCATCGCCTTCGGCCATTCAGCTCAAGAGAATTCGATGCCGGCTTCTAGCAGATGGTTGCCGAAAGAAAGAACAATCGAAGAAGTATGTCCCCGGCAAGATAGGAAGAACCAAGCGATGGGTTGGAAAAGCGATACCACACGGTCGCTTGCGTAGGGACACTTGAGAACTTGAAGAAGTAGATGTCGCTTCGTTACCCAGACCGTGTGCCAACAATTCGAGATAGAGCATTTGACGCAAGGTGTTTGCTGTCGGTTCTACTGGCAATCACGGCTCACCTCAGGACCGATGAAGGGAGAACTTGTGTATAGCATCATCGGTGCACTTAGCTCATGACGGACAAACCGGTCACCCACTGTGCCACCTGCTACACTAAGAAATGCGCGTCCGGCAATACTGTTGTTCGAAGCTTGTTCAAACTTTGCTCAGGGTGATTGCTGATGAGCTTGCCTTTTGCCAGTTCTATGGCCGAAGATGGATCTACCTTTCCAGTTCCACTCTTTTTCTGATATGGCTGATACCATGCGACGTGGCCAAAAAAATATTTAGATGATGATTATATGTCGCGTTTTTCGACATCTCTTCCCTTTGAGCAGATGACTCAAGCAAAAGATCGCCTTCAGAAAGATCCAGCATCTCCCCAGTAATGTCGAGGTTAAGAGGAGGCCCGAGGGCCGCATGTATAGTAAATGAAGATTCGAACTACCCGTCCAGGCCCAAAGTGAGACTATTAAATGGAGCATCGTCAAGTTCAGAGTCCATCTAGGTGCTCAAGCAGCCGTATATAGTGATCTTCGTCTTTCTTTTCGACGAGAAGTCGCAATTAGCAGATACCGCATGGAAAAAGTAACTAGACATCGTTGTGTTACGATGAGTTATAATAGGCATCATAGCTGCTATAAGATCGACCAGGGACTGTAGCAAGGCTCAGTGACGCGATTTTTTGAAGCCATGCCATGCTTGGAAGATTCAGCGATGCAATTGTCATAGCTGGGTCGCTCGATCGAAGTGGGCTTGAGGTTTCGGATGCGGTAGCAGAGGTTGGACAGCTTTAGGAAAAATGCGTGAAACTAAAGCGTCGGAACCGTAGATTGCGACCGTGATATTATAGGCCCCATTCAGATATAGCATTGCTGCTGGATCCGAAGATGATCGTTGTAGTCTTATAAGAGTCGACGCAGCAGTGTGCTGAGACACTTGGTCAGATTGTATATAGATTGTGTCGGAGATCGTAAGACGGCTGTGAGAGTGACAACTAAGTCGAGGTCACCATCGATATACGAAGTCGCAATCGCGCTTTCAAGTGGCAATGACACCCACTAAGCCTCCAAGTGACTTCACCACCGATTACTCTTCTCGCTTGTTTGCTGCGATGATGAAAGGTAGGCGATTTCCACCAGCACCATACGTCGCTGTGTAAAGCGAGCTTGTGACGCAGTCCAAGATAACAGCTCTAGGTAGCTTGGTGCTTGGCTTTTTGTCGCAGCCGGTGAGAAGAATGATATCCTTGTAGACTTCGTGCACGAATTTGCATGTCTCGTATGGGCTTTTTTCTTCAGAAAGCTTCCTTTGAAGGACAATACTGTAGTCGAGACGCACTCCGTCATGGTTCATACCAGAGCTCGGAGGCCTTCTATATATAAGGGTTTTATTCCGATTTGTTACCCTTCTTCGAACTTCTCGAGGACTGTCGGACATCGTTCGAATGTCAAAAGCTTCCTTTTCTCTTTCTTTTTGTCTTTTCTTTTTCCCTTTCCCTTTTCCCTTTTCTTTTTTCTTTTTCTTTTCTTTTCCCTTCCTTCTTTCTTTATTTTCTATTTTTTTTCTTTTTTTTTTTTCGGAAGGTAGCATAATCAACGTCCTTGACTGCATGAAGAGCGTAGGGTTACCAAATAAGTCAGAGGCGTTTGTAAGTTGAGTGAGTCTAGCCTCTGAGTTATCAGCCATCATCCGAAGCGACGGAGCAGTCAGGCGACGATGATTATTGCAGGCAATTTATGCCGTGTGATTCCAGATGGCTGTGTCCCATCATCCAACATCTTGCGACGGAACATCGCAGGCAATTTATGCTGTGCGATTGCCGACTTGCTCTCATCCGTGCTGATGACGAGTCTTGTGAGCACCGGTAGCCACGATGACAACTTCGCGAGAATCCATGATAGTCCGAATACCCGCGGTAAGTGACCTCCGCGGCACCAAGTCCAAGTTATTGCCAAAGAACCGCGAGTTAGCCAAGATTGTGTCATATGCCAGTGTCTTGACACGAGTACGACTGCTCAAAGAGGAGCCTGGTTCGTTGATCGTAAGGCTGCTTTCTGTACGGAGACGGAGAATGCAAGGAGGCATGTCTGTCAGAGCGAGTGCAGAGATATAATTTTTGTCGGCAGATGTAAGGTCATCAAGCGTAGCAGTGATGTCAAGACGGAATTGTCCATCATCTGAAAACAACATGTTGCAACGGAACAATGAAGTGACAATTCCTCCAGGCAATTTATGCCGTGTGATGCCAGATGGCTGAATCCCCTTATCCAAAGCCGACATGATGCGACCTAAGAATCAGGGGACAACTCCCGCAGGCAATTTATGCTGTGCGATTTGCCAGTGGCCTTGTCTTTGATGCCTCCCTCGTTATGCTGGGGAAAGATGAAGCGTTCCGTAGTAATTGGCAAACCCTGCCTTTAGTCATGCCTCGGATACATGAGTTCGAACTTGTGGGCTCTGTGGATTTGCAAAGGTGAACAGACCGATGAGCTTTCGCAACGACCAGTTACCATTCGAAGGCGACATGATGCGACCGATGGATCAGCGACGATTCCCGCAAGCAATTTATGCTGTGCGATTTCCATTGGCTGCATCCTTGATGTCTTCAGCGCTGCTTCAAGGAAGATGATGCGTTCCGTAGTAATTGGCAAATCCTGCCTTCAGTCATAGCTCGATGAGATAAGTTCAGACTCGGTGACTCTGGATTGTCAAGGTGAAAAGACAGATGAGCTTTCGCAGCGACCAGTCACTTTTGGAGGGAGATATAATGCGACGGAACAATCAGGTAGTTCTAGGAGACTTTCTATTGCTGCGCAAGTCCTGGCGATTGTGTATCACCAACCTGGAAGGCCATCGTCGTAAGATTGGCGAGAACGATGCCTTCCATAGTAATTGGCAAACCCAATCGCGGCGACACTTTTGGAGAAAGTGATGCCTTGCGTCGGATTTAGCGAACCTGCGCCAACGCAGTTGCTTTGGGAATGCCAGAGTATTCAGCGGACGCTGACTGGTCTTGACGAAACAGTTGTCGCAGACAAACAATTCGCCAAGGCATCTTGTACACTGAAGTGTATATAGGAAAGTATGACGATGGCTGTACTTTGTAAGTTGACCACGAGGTACCACCGATAAGTTTTGTTTCCGAGTCTTGTGGGTCTTCGTGAGAAGCTTTTGCGACAGCAGCCAATGTCGCCAGCATTCTCACTCCTTAAGTTGTCCTCTCATTCCTGTGGGTTCCAATGTTCAGTCCTCTGGTTTCCAATGTGCCAAGGCATCCTTGACGAGGTTGGCTTCCATCGCGTATATATATTGCCTTGCGTCGTAGTTTTCGAAGACGGTTGGTGGTCGTTTATAAGGCCTTTGCCGGAGCCATCGTTGTTGCGAGACTTAACGTCTTTCACTGGTCGTAGTCGCGTTCGAAGGTATTGACTCCAGCCTTTACATATATGATTGAGTCATGCTCCCCAGTAATAGTGCCTGCGAAATACCTTGAGTCCGTTGTGCCTTTCGTGATGGTTCTTGAACCAAAGTTCACCAGCTCAATCCACTTGGGTATGAAGTTGGAGATCGGACAGCCAGTGTCAGGCTGACAGAAAGACAGACCACGGTCTATGCAGCGAGCAGACTGAAGTTTGAGCTCATGGCTCAGACGGTCGGAAAGCTCATCCTAGTCATGCGTACGAGTAGCGAGGTTGTGGCATTTCTTCTCGGTCTTCGAATCGCTAATGCTATCTTCAATGAGCTCTGAAGACGTTTGCCGGAGCCATCACCATTGCCTGCGTTCATGCCCTCCCGTTCGGTGCTGGTTTTGGCAAGGAGTTCCTCGATCCTCGACATTCGAGATGTGAAAGATGTGAGAGACGTGAGAGATTTGAACTGCTAGTCCGATGTCTTTCGTCGTAGTTCTTGGAAGCAGTGTTGTGTTGGCACATGCTGCAGACGATGAAGTGCAGGACTTAGCCAGGAGGTGATCAACGCAGCGATAAAGTGACGCAGCAATGAAGCGACGAAATGCTTTGGGCTTCAGGAGATGAGACAACGGAGCAGTTGACGTCGAAGCGAGAACGCCACGGAGCAATGAATCGACGGAAAGATAAGGAGACCATCGTCGCAGTTCAAGATTTTCTTCGCTTTAAGGAGATTCCGGTTTCAGGAGAGCCCCGTCAACTGATAGGTTGCGTCGAGCGAACTCTTCCAATGTGGTAATCGAAGTGGTGTTCCTAAAGAAAGCTGCCTCGTGGAGCTTTTTGACTGCCACTCTGGAGGCTATATCCGTGGTTCACGGACCAGCCGCGATGGAAGATATATAGAGGCTGACTGGTGCCTGCACAGTCGCTATATAGAGGGAGCAGTCGAACGCTAAGAGGAGCGACCGTCCAACGGACAATGTCCCTCAATGCCTCCTTCTTCCGAGCCTTTTTGGAGCTAAGGCTAAATCTAGCTAGCTAATCGAAGCGAGGAGGTGAAACGTCGTGCTGATTGTAGCGCCAGTATATAGAGCGAAGGAATGACTTGAGTTTGTCGTTTCGAAGAACTGGTTGTTCGGCTCGAAGCAGTGAGTGGATAGAGCATGTATGGCTGCAGAATGTCGAAAGCGTACATCAGTGGCTCTTCCAGCGCGGCATCGACGAGCCAGCGTCGCGTCGCGAATGAAGTTTCTTGGGCTCAAGGGATCATTATCGTCCCAATCGACGAAGCCTTCTGAGATCTCGACACTCACCCTGTCAATATACAGCGTAGGCCAAGGAGCCGATGAGCTGGTGCTGGATCGCTTGAAGTCACGAAGATCTATTACTAGGTCGATTTCGTCCCGATCAACGAAGCCTTCTGATGCTTCGGAAGTTCCTCTGTTGTTCCTCCACTATATGCCGTAAGCCAAGGAGCCGATCAGCCAGTGCTTGATCTGTTAAAGTGACGAGGATCTGTCACTAGGTCGCTTTCGTTCCGATCAACGAAGCCTTCTGATGCCTCGAAAGTTTCTCTGTTTACTTCCGATATATAGCGTAGCCCGAAGAGTCGATGGGCTCAGAATGTCGGGAATATATATTGTATACAATACAGGGGTGCACTTCTTCTTGCCCGCTGGCCCTTCGGATGTGTTCGATGGGCTTAAAGTGTCGAAATATATACGCAGCGACGGTTGAAATTATAGTCACCATTCGCGACACTGTTGCAAAGCGTCGAAATGTTGTACACCGTTTTGGAGATTATATAATTCTGCACTGGTTGGCACATTATCCATTGTGTATAGGTGAGAGCTGTCAGTGGTGTTGATGAAGACTGGGCCAGCCAATCAAGGTCGAGAAGTCTCGGATATGCCATCTCCACCGAATGATAGATGGGATATAGAATTGGTCTCGCAGCGTATATATCGTGACGGGCGAGTTGCCGTAATCAGAATCGTCGGCGCAGGCCTTCTCCATGGGGCTTGATTTCAGTATGTCATAAAAATCACTAACGCGGCCACAGATCATCGGGGGTGGACTGCACGTGAACGATGGAGACTAAATGTCCCGCGGAGTTGTGCAAGGGCGTCTCAGAGTTGTTGAGGCATCATGGCGTGATTCTGTTACGAGAGACAATGCAATAAGGAGTCGTAAGGGAGCCACGAATGAGGCGGTTTTTGGAGAAGAGGGGGACGCGAGTCAGAACTGCTGCGGAGATGCAAACCGCTCGGTCGGCGCGTTGGGTGGGGGGCAAAGAAAAGATTAATGAAAATTGGCATGAGGATAAGCATAGAGGACAAAAAATGCAAAGTCGAATAAGCACAAAAAGGCGTTTTATGCATAATAATCGAGGGGATGTGGTTGGATGGCCGAGGTACGATCTTCCGGCACAGTGAGCCGATCGAGGGCTGGATCGTCGCCGAGAAGAGCTTTTTTTTTCAACGCTATTCTGTCTTGTTTCCAATAAGAATGACAGAGTGGCAGGTTGCTCGACGGACTTCATCCGAGGCAAGACCGGTGACCCAAAAGGTGATTGTATCCCCATGGTGTGCCCTGACCAAGTGGGGTTAGTTTTCCTGAGTGGCTGGAACCAGGGGCTTTTTTATGCTTACTGTGGGTATCTCGGCGTTAATGAGCTTGGAGATGCCGTGGTAAAGAGAGCCTCCCCCGGCATGCCGAAGCCGAATGTATGCCCACGACGGTCGGGGAATTCGGAGAAGCCGGCTTATGCCAAACCCATCGTAGCCGGTATTTCCCCGGGGGGTTTTAAAAGTACTCGGTATGCGAGCTGAGATTTTCCAGTTTCGCTAGGCGAGATGAGGCGGATGTTGCTGCTAGTCGATCTCATCCCGCCCCAAAACTTGAGTGAGGCCAACTGGATAGGCCCACGTGGCACCAAAGAGAAAAACAGCACAAATGAGAGTCATAATGAAGAAGAACAGAAATAATACCGAATGAGATGGTGTGACGTATAACGGAAACAAATGAAGGTCGTGCCATCGGAACAGACGGCTTCTTAGGGTTGTTCCCCGCTCGTTAGACTAAACCCCCATCCCCAAAAAAGAAAGTGATCAGGTGAGGCGATGGAGGGTCCCCAAAGCAAGGTATATTACCCCTCCTTGACAATTTATGACGGAGAGTGTGAGGCGAGCGTAAGAAAGCAGTAGAAAGGGTGTGGAGATAACATGAGGGGCAGTATGCGGTGTAGAAGGGGAGGCAAAACACTGAGTGGGGATACATCGTTGACAGAAGGGAAGCAGACAAGAGAATTAGGTTACATTAGAAGCAGTATCAAGCAGGAAGATAAGGAATGACTAGAAAGGAAGAAGAAAGTAATGAAAGGATACAGTAGCCATCTAAGCTTCGAAAGAGAGTGTGATGAAGATGAAGATGATGAAGACGATAGAGATGATGATGATTCAAAAGAGTGTATGATGAGCTGATGAGCAGTCAGATCGATGCTTGAGACCTTTCTGAGTATGGAGAGGAGGGGAGAATGCGAAGGAGAGATTTGGAGAGTAAAGGAGGGCCTTAATATACCTGAGAATCATCAGTCATCAGAGTCCAGATCATCGTTCACAGTCCAGTGCCTCCGTTCACTCTATACTTGGGAATGAGAGAGGAAGTCGTGGAATGAGGGCCTCAAACCGTGGAATAAGGGCCCAGATCGTGGAATGAGAGCCTCACGGCGTTACGCTGAACATCAGGATTCACATATTCTCGTGGAATGGAGACATCTCTCGCCCCGAATAGGAAGTGGAGATGGTGAACGGTCGAAAAGTGTGAACGGAGGCAAGAGTGAACGAGTCGATGCGACAAATACCATTCCACGCAGTCTCTCGTAATGAACATCACACTACGAGAAAGTCCGTATTGTGTAGCAAGAAGGAATCGGGTTGCTGTTCACGCAGGAGAACGCGGGTCATTACTAGCTCTCTACCTTAGGGAACTTCCGGTGGAATCACAATTAAAAAAGGGGGATTGTAGGACATGAAGAAAGTCTAATTCTAAATCTATAATGTATCCCAAACGCCTGTGTAGCTAGAACAACAATCCAAAAGGAGTCGTAAAAAGGCTGACACAAAGAATGAGCGCTCAATATAGTGTATGCATATAATCGTTTCACCAGAATCCACCGCTAGAGATGCAAGAACATTGAAACCCAAAAGATGCTGAGGCTAAAATATGAGACAAGAAATGGAAAAGGAACCAAGGCGGTGTGAGGAATCATTCAGACACATCCTCATCTTGACCCGGCCACATGATGTCCTTGCGGATAACGGCCCGGATGGCGCTAACCAAGACAAAGATAAACATGATGATGACACAGAGAGACATGGCGGTGGCCACGCCCTTGACGCCTGGGCTCTCAAACGTGTTGGCCAGGGTGATGGTGGCAAGAGTGAAACCGGTGTTGGGGAAGACCATGGCAAACCAGTTGAGGTGGAACCCCTTGGGCGGGGAGCGGACAACAGCAACAACCGCAATGCAGAAGAACCAGAAACTCAGAGCCCAAAGGAAGATGGCCGCACTGACAGCGAGGAACAGCATGACGCGTCCGTCGATAACAGCGTGGGGATCACCGACGATCTGGAAATCATCAGGCAGCGCCTTAGCCATACCAACCAAAGCGAGGGCAGTAAAGGCAGGTGGGCCAACACAGATGAACATTCCAGGTCTGTGTTCGGGACTCGGCAAGCCGACCTCCATCAGTCGTCCGATGTAGTGGGCGTACATCATGAAACTGATAGAGAAACCAAGACCCTGGAAGGTAATACCAGCGATGACCATAGGTATTCCATCACTAGCCGGCTGTCCGCTTGCGATAACGGACGCGATGGTACCACTAAGCATGACAGGGAAGGCTGGCAGAATCCACGACGGCATCATGGTGTGCAGCTCGTATTTGTGGGTGGCAAAGACAAATGAGTACTGAGCGACGGCGGTGATCATGGTGAAGCCACAGTAGATCCAGAAGAGGACTTGGAGACACTTGGTAAATTTTTCGTTCGAGTCATCACCAAAGCACTTGTACAAGCCAGTGATCATAGTTGCAATGGAGAGCCAGAAGGTCGGGAAGAAGAGACCTTCACGGTCATGGCCGAGAGACTCCAACATGTTCTTATGCAGGATGAATCTGATGGCCATGAGAGTAGTGACGATGACGAAGAATGCAATGTTGAGACAGTAGACTACCCGGGCAATGTCCTTCAGGCCCTTGAAGTCATGAGGCTGGTTGACAATCAAGAGGGCCAACCCGCCGCAGCTCATGGTCAAGGTATACCAGGCCCAGGTAAAATGGCGTAGACGCTCGCGGAGGCCCACTCGACCTGGTTTCTCGAATGTATGGTTGACGCCTAAGTCGGCTTCGTGATTGACAGTTATCTCGGAATCATGGTTGGCATGTTTCTTGGTCTCATGGTGGAAGGTTTCCAGATCCGAACCAGACGAGCCAGGGAGGCTCGTTTCAACGTTCATAGTGCCGATCGACTATGGTCTATACGGTGATGTATAAGATATGAGGTGAAGAAATCAAAGATAGGAATAGAGAAGAGGTGTGAGGCAGTGTAACTGATGGAGAGCAAAAGCCACCGGCTTCCCTGCTCGTGAACAGTAGGAGAATATCAAGAAGTAGACAATGCCTGGTTCAAGTGCCTCGAAAGGAATGAGCCAGCCTTTTAACCAGGGAGGGGTGACCAGGCCTTAGCAAGCTGAGCGGACCCGTACTACTATTGTACACCGGGGGCCCACAGCGAAACAGCACGGAAAAACGTTTTGGGATACGGAGAACTGAATTGATAATTGTGGAGTGGATATGAAAAAAAAAAAATCTGGTAAGACAGGGTGTTTGCTCAGGTAATGCAATGGCTTCTGGAAGAACCAATTGTTCCACGAGCTCGACTACCAGCGATGCATTGCACCTCCAACAGACAGGACATTCCACAGGTCATATAAGACTACGCATCAACCCCTATGCTTTGGGGCTACAGTAAGGCAGTGCTTCTTGGGCTGCCAGAAAGATCGTCCTTCAAGTGTCAACACAGCATGGCCAAGAGCATAACAGCCGACCTGCAGGGGCATGGCAAGAGTGGTTGGCTCACCAGGCGAAGAGCATCACAGTCTAGACTTGAGATAATCAGTATCGCGGGGCCCAATATCTAGGCGTATGTAATCTCCAATTTAGGTCAGGAGAATTAGGAATCATAACAAGGGGGGCCACCATATTGCCAAGGCGGACAGGGATCCACGGCACTCAGTCGAAGCATCATAGGAGGCGAAGGTTGAACCTGATGGCTAGGGGAGTAGATGGTTCATGATCCTCAACCTTCCAGAGACTCTCTTCCGCCAAGCCATGCGAGGTTATGGTTCTGCATCAGTGGGTCGGTATGCATCGACAACGTCAACTGGCAGGCAATTCAGTTCTGGGTAGAAGAATTGATGGTATGCGCCACGCACTGTGTTATTATTATCACAGAATTTTACCCGTTTTGAAGGGTTGGGGTCCGGAAATTCCCCGAGAGTGCGGACGTGCCCATTGCCAGCATTTGTCACCGCAGAATCGCTGCCACATCAGGGACCACAGGTCTAAATCGGCCAAGAGACCTGTATAACTTCGTCTCAATTTTGAACTGGTGGTGATACATCTGAGTTTGATGAGTGTTGTTATCGGGGACAAAAAACCGAATTTTCGAGGATTGATTTTTTGCCCCTGGATCCATCCCGAAACCTTTTCGGCCCATTGTGAGTTACGACATGGGCCGCGACGGGTGCGGCAAAAGGAGTGGCCAAACGGGAGGAGGTCGATGCTAAGCCCTGTTCGGACCGAGGATTAGGTACGGGAGACAGAGTCAGGAAGGTACGAGACGAGGAACAGCAGTAGCAGTAGTAGCAGGAGCAGACTAGCAGTAGCAGGAGGACCAGAGATAGTACACTTACTCAGTCGGGAGGCAGTCCCAAAGACAAGGTTGGAGCTGGAAAAGTGGAACTCGATGGACACCATCCGGGCCAATCAAGCGGGCAAATGCATTGTAGTGCGCAACCAGGAATCTTCAACGTGCGCTGATTTCTCCAACCTGTTTCGCTCCCCAGATGAGCGATGGCCAAGAGGAGGATCGACAGCGCACCATGGCATCTCCGCTGCCAAGTAGTGGTGGCTATAAAATGCCCAGAATATGGGAGAGGAAGCGAGCAGGAAGGTTTTTGCCAATGCTATTAAGACTGCGGGAGATTTCTTGGGAGGTTCGGGAGTGGACAGTCAGAGAACTAAAGTCGACCGCAACCCAAAGAATGTAATGGAGAGGGGGGGGAGGGGATCGGAAGTGGGCCCTGATCCATGCGGGTGACCCATGGATGGCAACAATGTAAAAAACAGGCCCATATACGCATAAGTTGAGGTCACCGGTGAGGGCAAAAACTGAACCCATTCAACCAACTGGATGGGGGTGGGGGGACAGACAATTGGGAAGGAGAGGATGGAAAATGAAGAAGTTGTTTGTGTTTGTGGGAAAGTGAAATTTGGGGGAGGAAGGAGCGGAGGAAGACGGAAAGGCATCAGAGGAAATCCTGGCTGGGCATCCCTTGGCACGAGTTTCCTCCGGAACGTTTGACCAGATGGACCAGATAGTAGATAGTCCAGATAGTCCAGATAGAGTAGACAGTTAGAGATAGAACTGATCTTCTTCCTACTCCTTCACAAAGTCAATCCCGATCCTTCCCTTCCGTCTCTTGGATGCTCTTGGCCGGATCGCCGCCAAGCATGGCTCAGCCATCTATCGAGATACTTGAGACTCGATAGATCGTTGATGAAACTATCTCGGCGTTCTTGTCCGCTGGCGATCCCCTTCTTGTCGCCTAATCCTCGAGTCGTCATTCCATTCTGTGACTTGACTCCCTTATCTCCTCGCCTACTTCGTGGTACTCCGAGACTCCTGGAAAATGTGATTGCCTACAACATGCCAAGCCAGTGGCGATGCACTTCCTCATTTTCCCCCCTTAGAGTGCCTAGAGATGAAGCGCGAGTTTGATGGCCACTATCTACTAGGATTCCGTCAAGGCGACGACATCGGCTGCAGATGATGTCCAACGCCCAGCTCTTCACGGCAACCCGGATCGGCTTCTGGACCCCCCTGCAGATGGACAATGGCCCGCAGTGACACGGCTAGAATTAGAACAACTACCCGATAACACAACAGGGAAAGTAAGACGAATGCTGCCCGCTGCAAGACACAGGTCAAATCTTAGGCAGGCGAAGAATCTGGAACTCGCTTCGCGCGGCTTGGATCAACATGCAGAAACGCTAAACATGCACATGCAACCTGTCCCCAAGACAATACAATACGCTATCAGGATACCTCATTGCGACGCAAACTCGGCTGTGCTTGTAATTACGCATCCACGATGGAGCCAGGGTAATTCATAGCAAATAATCATTCAACATCATATACACAAAAGGAAATTCGTTGTTGGCAGTGGGAACGATGAGCGCATAAACTTTGAAACAGACTCCATACACTTATCTGTCATCCCGTACGCCAGGTCATGCATCTCATGCCATCTGTCGTGCGTTGTTGGTTCTGTGGTCGTGCGTATCTGGATATACATGTAAGAAGGATGGATTGGAGTTTTTCTTGGAAGAATCGTATCGAAAGAAAGAGAAAGAAGAAACGAGTGGAGAGATCAGACGCAGTGCAAGGGCATTCACATCATCATCCGATACACCAGGTCCGAAGCAAGCTCGGTGGTGGTGTCCAGCAAGGCACGGAAGCCCCGCGCTGAAGGCTTCAATGGCTTGCTCGACGGAGATACAAGATCACTCTCTACTGGTGGAGAGTAGGCCGCCAAATCACGCACCTTGCAGGCAGCAAAGTGCACGACCAGCTTCCGTAGCTCGTTATCCCGCAGCTGTGTAGCGGACGTGGGGGTGATCGGCTCCAGACGAGTAGTCTTGGTGTACGTGTAGTGCAGGAGATCAAGAACCTTTCTGGCCTTGGTGGTGTTGAGGCTATGCTGCTCCTCGTCCTCACTCTCGATGCTCGATTCCGCGAATCCCAGGTACAGCAGGTCGCGATGGAGCTTGCGGAGACAAAGCTGGGCCAGCGCAGGGATCAAGTATCGGGTCGCAAAGACGTACAGCTTGGCATGGAAGACCAGGTATGGCAGCTCAAACGGGGACCGAGCAGACATGACGCTTGGAGGCCTCGTCACGGAGCAAGAGCGGGGGTCGACGTAGTCGATGGCTGAGAACTCGTCCCAGAGACTGGTCCCTTTCTCGTTCATCCGGGAGTACTGCTGCCTGGCGAAAGAGGTGTCGATCATTGGACCTGTCTGTCGTCTGGCCGTGACTCCCTGGTGCTCTTTGGACTCTTCCCTCTCCTTCTGCTGTGTCTCTTCCTTCTGGTCTTTGTTGTCCTCTTTGCTGGGGGCGTCTGCCCCATCTTCTGGAGGCGTGGGCGCAGTGTGTTCCCAGCTCTCGGTGGGCGATGAGGCCGCCGCCGCATTATCAGCTGGCTCCGGAGCAGGAGGTATCTCTGCAGCCTCAGGAGTTGGAGGGACATCCTCAGACACTGCGTTGGTTTCAGAAGCAGGATTGGCGGCTTCCTCTTCCGGCTTCGAGTTCGAGGGGGGTGGCGTGGATGGAGGTGTCAGGTTGGGCGCGGCTTCCTCTGCGGCCGCTCCCTTCTTCTTTTTCTTGTCCTTCTTATTCTTTCTACCTTTCTTTCCCTTGGATGCATCATCTCCAATGGCGTCCCATCCATCGCCATCATTCTGCTCCGCTGCGGGAGTTGGAGGAGGCTGCTCGCTTGCCTCTTTTGTCGCAGGTACTGGTTCTTGGGGCTCATCATCAGCAATGGCACACTCCCAGTCGTCATCCTTGCCCGGGAAACTGTGCTCCACTACAGCGGGCCTGTGCTCTTCGTCCGGACGACTCCACCCATCATCGAGAGACTTGTCGTGGTCGTCCCCATGGGGTTGGTCTACCGGTCGACCAGGGGGTGTCGGGGCTCGCGGAGGAATGGCTGCTGGGCTGGAAGGATCGTTGGAGAAAACGCCGCGAAACGGATTGTTTACGGCCTGCTCCTCACGGTCCTCTTCGCGCGACCCCGGGGGTGGCACACGGTAGTCGCCGGTATAGGCGTACTCGCAGAAGGCGACGAAAGTTTCGACGTCATACTCTTCCAGGACAGCGATGTGGTGCTTTGACTCGCGGGTCTCCCCACTGTTCATGAGATGGTCGAGTGGCTGGGAGACATGACGGGCGAGGCCGGACTGGATGGTAAGCTTGGTGTGGTTGGGGCCGACCAGAAAAGTAAATGGCGGTGAATGGACGATGCTGTACCCATCCAGAGCGTGGTCAGTGGCAGCACTGTGGTGGTTGGCATGAAGCAGAGATAGAAGGAAAGAAAAGAATCAAGCGCAGAAGCCGGACAAAATGGTGTGAGTCATTCGAGAGATCGCAATGGCTAGAGTCCCAATTCTGGTTATGATTGAAGGTCTGCACTCACCTACTAAAGTCCCGATCAGACTCCATTGGCGAAATCTGTTGCGTTCCTTGTCATTACAACAAGAATTGAGTTGAAAGCAAAAAAGGGCCGACAGACAGACGGACTCAGAATGCGATTAATATATGCGATCCTCGATACTCCTGACTGTTCGCGGAGCTCTCCACTCATACATGCGCCCTGGAAATTTTCCCCTCCGGGTGTCTAGTCCCTACGCCAAAGCAGCTATAGGCGCAGGAGCCGACTAACTGGGTCAAGGCAGTCTGCTACGTGTGCATCGCTAACGGGTTTCGGAGTGGGTTGACCGCCAGCTTTTGCGATGCCAACCAACGGCCCGTTCAGTTCGTCTTATCGCGACCACCAGGTGATGCATGGGCGTCGCTAGCCAGAGATCAGCGTCGTCGGACTGGCTGAAATTTGTAGCAATATATCCTATCCCTGAGTGTAACACATGTATGCTGCACGGGCTGCAGCAGAGGGGACTTCATAGATTGGTGATGGGAAATCGCCCGTTGATCCTCATGCCCAACCAGACGCTCGCTCTCAATGCAACAACATCTCACACGAGACAGAATCTGCTCTCCAGCGGCAATGAAACCAACCATAGGAGTCACAGGATGGCTGGGATGGTTCGCATTCCCCACTAACGAGGCCAATCCTTGCCCATGTGCGGGTGTGGGTGTTGTATTGCTGGTTCCAGTCATATTGTTGCCCGATGGGAAGCCTTTTTCATCCCAGCCTCTTAGGGACCCAACGGCGGTCAGCTCATTGGCGTAGAAGTTCAATTGCGGTGGTGGGGGTGGTTGGAGTGCATGGTCAAGTGACTATTTTTGTCTTTTCTCATTGATTGAAAGTGCTTCATAGATTCGTAGTTGCAGGTTCAATCAATTATCCAAGTGTGCTGATGAATCAAAGATTAAATGTTAAAAGTTCAATCTTTTAATACTGCCGTGCCCTAATCCGCAACACCGGGAACTTCCTACACGCTACGGAATAACAATATATATTTACATCATGTTTCGAGTCATTCAATTGAAAACGCAAAATAAAATAAAAATCTCTATAAAAAGGCCACAACTGTGGGACCCACGCGGAAAATATCCACCACGAACTGAACTAGATAAGTACAATCAGTAAGTAGTACGTAGTTAACTAGTTAGTCCCTTGCTGAAGTGACAGCCAGAGACTCCACTGACAGCACGTCGTCGACCACGAGTAAGATGAACTACTATATTATAGTTGCTTAACAACTCAAAGCATATTACTGACGATTATAATGGCCATTTTAGCGTCGTGGTATTCATTTCAGGAATATACTTTTCTCCCATTGATAATAGCAGTAGCAGTAGCAGTCTATGCACTCATATCTTACGTAGTAAAGACTGTGATTAAGAGTGGAAAATGATCGATTGCTCCCTCATTCTATCATCAAGCCCTCTATACTAGTAATCACATAAGATAATCATGGTATCTCTATACATCCAAACAAAAAACCCCCCCAAAAAATCATACACACCCACCATTTCCTCCAAATCCCATCCATCTAATGGACCAACCTAATCTCCCTACACCCAGGCTCCCACTCCCTCAACCCCTCACCCACACTATACCAAAACCTCAACTTAACACACTCCCTCCTCGCCAACTCAACATCCCCCTTATCAAACGCCTCCCCAAGAACCCTCACACACTCCTCCACCCTCCCCTGATTCTCCACCTTCAACTCATTGATCTTCTGCTCCGCAACCGCAGCATCCTCCCCGGAATCCGTCACCTCCTCAATCGTCTCCTGTACCTCCATGACCTCCATCAACGTCTCCGCATCCAACGCATGCTTCGATGCCCCATCCTCCGCCGTGACATCTATCCCGTGCATCTCGCGCAGGAGGTACTGCGCCCGTTGCAGCGGGTCCAGCAGAGTGCGGTACGCTTCGTTGATGCGCGCTGATAGCGCCTCCGCTTGTTGCTTTTGGGGACCCTGTGGGTATTTGTCTGGGTGGATGAGAGATTGCCAGCGGAGGAATTCGCGGCGGAGGTCGGCGGTGGGGATGTCGAAGGGGGAGGATGGGGGTGGGCCGGCCGGGAGGGTTTGTTTGAAGATCGTGTAGTGATTGGTTATGTCGGGGGTGGTGTTAGTGGTGTCGGTGGTTGTTGTTGTTGTGGAGGCGAGGCGGAAGGTATTAATTGTTGTTGTTGGTGATGATGATAGTAGAGATGATGGATGCTGTTGGTGTAGGTAGGAAGTGTGCGGGGATGCGGGTGTGCGGGCTTGAAGAACGCCTGTGCGGACGAGCCGCGATGCAATACGGCTGTTTCGTAGCATTGTGTACTTTGTGCGGAATGCTGTGAGGTGTCCTGGTTTCGGTGGACTGTGGTAGTTGTTGGAAAGATGATGCTCGGACTCGGAGAGGGCGGTTGTTGATGGATTGTCGGATTTGCCTCGGATTTGTTAGGGCGGTGTGTGGCAATTGCTGGCAAAGTAGGGTGGCGGTTGCAGAGGGGTCATGTGACTATGATGTATGATGTTCACCGCTTTCTATTTGAGATAGGAAACGATGGGATAAGTCCTGTCTCACCATGTCACACTCCATGAACATAGTAAAAAGTACAAGACGATGAGGTGTTGTAAAGCTAGGTTTGATACTGAACAGCTCAGTGAAGATATATTACCGATGAACGATGTATATTCCTCATAAGCCTGGGCGTGAATCGGATGCTACGCTACAGTGACGAGTTGCCTCATCTTCACAGCTGTACTTACGAAGGACTTCACAAGGAGCAATTCATGGGCAGTCATTATCACTTGATTGTTCTATAGTACATGTACATCATTCAATTCCCCAGAGCTTCACCGTCCGGTCGTGTCCACAACTGGCAATCCACTGGGCATCGGCGCTGATGTCGGTGCTGAGGACATTACCCGCATGTCCACTCAACGTCTTCACCAACGACCAGTCATCCGCGCTAAAGATATTCACGTTCTTGTCAAAGCCACTGCTCACAAAGAATGTGCCTGACTTCTTGGGCTGCACAGGCGCCGGAGCTTCATCCGTTGGTGTGGCACCGTCAACGTCCATGCGGCCCTCTGCCGAGGGAAGGAATGAGTCTGCCTCCGCGCCCTTGTACCATCGAAGATCGGACACCACGCTCTTATGCGCTCCAATGCCACCGCTATTCCGAACTTGACGCAAGTCCCAGCACTTGACCCAGCCATCGCCCGAACCGGACAGCATTCGGTAACCATCCACGCCCCAATCCATTCCAAAGATCTCCCGAATATGCCCCTCCAGAATCATGACCGTGCGGCCAGTCCGGAGATCCCAAATCCGGCCGATGCTGTCCAATCCGCCACTCGCCAGAAGCGAGCCGTCATTGTTGAATGCGACTGTGTACACCTCACGGGAATGTCCTTCTTGCAACAAGAGCTCGGCCGTAGTTTCGACGTCCCACAGCCGCCAGGTGGTATCGTAAGAAGCAGAGGCAACATATCGGCCGGATGGGTGGAATTCCGTCCGGCAGACACGGCCGCTGTGGCCAGATAGCGTCGCCAAGGGCTGATCCTTGTCTAGAGACCACAGGCGGACATTTCCTTCACCTCCTCCCGACACTAGATTCACCGTTGACTCCGACACATTCGACGTAGGCAGCGTAGCTCCGGGAAACCATGAAAGCCCACCGACTCGATCATTATGTGCCTGGAGTGACAGCTTCTCTTCAAGATTAGGCACTGTAAGCAAGCGAATGCCACCGCCCCAGTTACCGGTCGCAATAGTTTGCCCGTCGGGAGAGAAACGACAGATACTGACGGGGCGGTCGCCCGCAATCTGGGATCCGTACAGATCGAAGTTGTGTAGCTTTTCCTTGATCGCCTTTCGATGCTTGATATGCGTGCGTAGAGGTATGGTCGATTCCTCCTTCAGTCGGGCCACACGCGCCTTTGCGCGAGGCAACGAGAAACGTGCAATGTCCTTCCGGGCCTGCAAGAGCTCGTTGGTGCCCTCCGTATAGAATTCCTCCTGCTGCTCTGCCTCCTCTTCATCGCCTTCACCCATGGCCTCCATCATTTCCACATCGCCCTCTGCCGCCGCGGCTTCTTGTCGTTCTGCCAGATCGGTCAACAATTCCCGCAGTCGGTCTCTCCGATCCGCAGGGCCTTCTCCAAACAATGTAATCGGTTCGCCCAATTCGCGTAGTCGTGCGCGCACCCGGCCATCATCCGTCGGGACCGCCATGGCCGCGGCTCTTCGCTTCCTTTCAAACTGTGACAAGATGGCTGACGCTCTTTCGGCGGGAATGCCCGCTGCGGCGGAAGGGAGGTCATAATTGCGGTCGACGGCTAGACAGATTGGTGATAAGCAATGGATACATTGTAGATGACCTAGCGACATAGGATCTCGGTAGAGGCGCAATACTTACGGATGTTCGCCAAGTCAATGCCCATGTCCGTGTCCTGGAAACGACGTCAGTATATGCAATGTCAACGGAGGAATCCTCCGGCGCTATTCTATAGAAACGCCAGGAGAAGAAACAGATAACGATGAAGAGGATAGCTCACCTCCGCTTCCTCCACGTACGCCTGTCTCGACGGGTGCATCATGATGGGCGCAGTGGGTGGGGGGTGCGCTGATACTCCGACAGTTTAGACCCGACACGAACAGCCACGGGTGGTTCGAATGGGATCAGAGATTGAAACAGTTATCCCAAAGAGATCCCGTCCAGACGCGCGATGATATGAGAAGCTGGAACAGAAGGGGGATTTGGGGTTCAGGGAAGATGGAGGAGTGGAAAGACAAGCGGAGGCCGCAAAGCAACAAAACAGCGGCACTTTTGCTTTCCTTCCTTTCTCGGATTTCTTCTGGCAGCCCGAAAAAGGCGGCATCCACCAATTCGATCGCAACTTCCTCGCCTCTCGTGACTGTTCTTTCCTCTTTATTGTTCTGTTCTGGCCGTTTACCTTACACGGTGACTGACACTAGCATGCACGATGACGACCACGTTTTCAACTCTTTACTACCCAACCCAGCGGTGTGCTGAATCGGTGAGTTTAATTTAAGTCCATGGTTTTACTCTGGAGCTGCTCCGCGCCCGGAGTATCTACGCTCTTTTATGTCTATCAGCAACCCCTCTGCCTTCCTACGTCGAATTCGCTTTCCTTTTTCCGATCAGACAAGCAACCAGCAACTAATTAGCGACCAGCTTGAATAAATCGCCGATCTGCTTATCCGGGAAATTCCTCTTACTCCTCGATGCTCGCGGAGGCGGTCGATGACGCCAGGCGGTCGGGAGTCCCGTCGGGCCCAGCAATCTGAAATTTCCAGCTTGGATCGCCTCGTCTCTCCCCTTCGCCTGGCCTCACATAATCCCCGACTTTTTTGTCTTTGATCAGCCGGCCATTTCTGGCCCTGTCGTGACCCTCTCCACTCTTTCAATTCCCCGGCGGCTGTCTCGCTCGCCATTTCGCATGCTCCCCCGGTCTCCCTGCTCCATCCCGACTACATCCTGTTCCTGCTGGCACAGACAGGATTTAAGGTGACGATCCGGTCCTTCGCTGATGATCGCACTGGCGTCTTCCGGTAGAGCCTGCAGTGCAGCCTGCAGTAGCCTACACGCCGTTGTTAGGGACGGCTTCTTGGCCTCTGTCTCGGCTCCGAAATCCTCTGGCCTCCGATACCCCCTCGTCTCCTCCTTCACCTCTACATCTCGTTCCCCGCGATTCTCCCGCCGTGCCTTTCATTCCACGTCGCCGTTAGACTCGGCGACTCCGCGGATCTCATATCGCGTCGCCGCGTCCTCTTCCGGCAAAGGCCGCCGGTTCCATCCGGCCAAAAACACCTATAACTTCACCCCCGACCTCCACGAAGCCATCGGCGTCGCAACAGACACAGAGAACAAGGCGCTCCGGCGAAAGAGGAGGCCTGATAGTGGTGAGGATGCGTTCTTCGTGAGCAGAGTCGGCCGAAAGGACTCTGGCGCAGTAGCCTTTGGAGTCGCCGATGGCGTGGGTGGCTGGGCTGAGTCGCGCGTCGATCCAGCAGACTTCTCGCATGCGCTATGTGGCTATATGGCTCAGTCGGCCATATCCTGGGAGTCGCCCGTCGAAGAGTTACGACCAAAGAACCTCCTTCAGACCGGATACGACCAGGTCGTAGCAGATGAGACGATCCGAGCCGGAGGCAGCACCGCGTCAGTCGGCGTGGCATATCCAGACGGACGAATCGAGCTGGCCAACCTGGGCGACTCGGGCTCAGTTCTCCTTCGCCTTGCCGCCGTCCACCATTACACCGTCCCGCAAACCCACGGCTTCAATACCCCATACCAACTCAGCATCATTCCGCCGCGCATGCGCGCTCAGGCGTCCATCTTTGGCGGCGCCTTTCTCGAGGACTTCCCGCGCGACGCGGCCGTCACCAACCTCCACATGCAACATGGAGATGTCCTCATCCTAGCTACTGACGGTGTTTTCGACAACCTCAACAATCAAGACATGCTCAAGCTTGTCACGAGTCGCATGGTTCTCACGGGCGCCTGGACCGCCGATCCTGACGCGGGCATCCGTCCCTCGGAGGATCTCAAACAACTAACCAGCCCAGAGGGTCTGTCTTCTCTTCTTCCTACGCCATCCTCCTCACCATCCTCCGACCCCGACTCTCCGAAATCATCCTCCCCCAGCACGCGCCAGCAGACCTACACCCTTCAGTCTCTCATCGCCGCCACGATCGCCGGCGAGGCCAAACTGGCCAGCATGGACATGCGTCGTGACGGACCCTTCGCCAAGGAAGCCCAGCGCTATTACCCCGGTGACTGGTATCGCGGCGGGAAAGTCGACGATATCAGTGTGGTGGCAGTAGTTGCCGTGGACGAGGGATACTCAGGATGATGAGAGGTGTTTCTGCCAAAACGAGGCTTCTCTGCCTCCCGTATAATATTTCTTTTCTTTTCTTCTACTGGACTTTTGTTTCATGAACGACCCTCCATGCACATGCACATGCATGCATTTTCATGCCGATACCGATACCTATACCTCTTCTATACCTATACTTCCTGCTTGGATTACGTCATTCACATATATACACAGTGACACACTGTTGTACCTTTCCTTTTCCCATTTCTTTCTCCGGCGGTCATCAGGTACTATACTTTTCTTTTCCTTATTGGTCTTGGTCAGGGCAGCATTCATATTGGTAAAAAACAGGTAGAGACGGATGAAAGCAAGATAGAACTTTATTATTATCATTGATAGACTTGACAAGTGAAACTTCATACCAGATACTTTACTTGAGCAGGATAGTACTACTAGTAACCATAGTAAATAAGTAGAAGATATAAATCCTTAGATAGATAGATAGATAGAATAACTATTCAACTCGCATCCACCATATACGGCACAACGGGGAGAAGAAATGTAAAAAAAAAAAAAAAAAAAAGAAAAGTTAACAGGAACAGCACGATGAGTATACAATTTCGATTCATCCATTCGGCAAAGCTGAAAACAAGAAATAATAACAACAGCAGCAGTAGAACCTGGTAATTAAGCATCGATGATATATCCTCCCTTTTTTCCAGGATTGAAATAAAGCAGAGCAGGGCGGGAAGTTTTAGGTGGGTGGGTTAGAGGTAAAATGGAAGGGAAAGAGTAAGGTAAGAGTCTTTTCTTCTGCTTGTCAATCAAGCAATCCATCCATCCCTACTCGTGGAATCGGGCATACTTAGTGTTGGTGTTGATCATTTTGAGGTCCGGAGGAGAGGGGGAATATGCATCTCGTTATCCACTCCACTATCAATTATCATTGAGAAGATGGACATGGATGATGGATGTACAGATGGTACTCTGTAGTGGCAAAAGAGATGATGGTAAAAGCTTTCCCATGATCGAAGATAAAGGGTGTTTTCAACGACGCTTGCATGCATGTGTTTTGACTTTTTCCAGCTTCGTGAATTTGATTCCAAGAGTAAAAAGAGAAAGAAGAAAAAGGGGGATTTGGTTGGATTGGATAGTAAAAAATAAAAATAAAACAAACAAGACAACGCAGAGAGGAGTCACAGCACAGAGAGGCCCATAAACTAAGGCAAGTAAACAAAACGCCACAATCAATGTGGGTGGTAACAACGGCAAACAATTTCCATCAGCATCACCTTTATGCTGCCGTCTCCACCGGCTTCTCTTCCGTCTTCTCATTATCAGCCTTCTCCTCTGTCTTTTCAGCATCGGCCTTTTCCTCCGTCGCCTTGCCCTCGGTTGGCTTCTCTTCGCTGGACTTCTCCTCCGCTGCCTTCTCCGTCGTAGCCTCTTCGGTCTTGGGAGCTTCCTTCTCAGTCTCCTCCGTAGCCGGCTCAGGGGCCTGTGGCTTCTCTGCTGCATCGGCATCGGGCATCGGCTCATCCTGCGGCTCCGCAGTGTCAGCCTTGCTCTCCTTGGTATCATCCTCCTTCTCGTTCTCGGTATCGCCCTTAGCCGGCGTCTCAACGCTGCTCTCCTTGTGGACACCGTTGGCCTTGGGCTTGTCTCCCTTCTCCTTGTCATCCGAGGGTCCGGTGGCATCCGCATCCAGCAAGTTCTTCCACTTGGACAGAATGCTCATCGCACGGGCCCGGAACTGGAATTCCTCGTCGCGAGGGATAGAGCTGAGCTTGACGATCATCTTCAAGACCTTGTTGATCTTCGTGGCACGGATAATGGAGACTTCAAGGTCCGCGTGCTTCTCAAGTTTGCCGAAGAAGTTGGACATTTGAGTCATTTCTTCCTCCTTGGGTGGCTGGTCGCGAGAAATGAATCCCTTCTGAAGCTTGTGACGGATAAAGAGGACTAGTCATCATTAGCATAACACGTTCCTAGGCTACCAGGTTGGTCCCACACATACTTTCTTTCTCCTTCTTGTCCTTGGCTTCCTCCTGAGTCAACTTCTTCTCGGGCTCCTTGGATTCCGCGCGAGACTCCTCTCCATCATCACTAGCAGCAGCCTTAGCGGCCTTCTTGCTGCTTGCGGTCTGCTTGCCCTTGGAAGCAGGGGCCTTCTTTCCAGATTCACTGGCCGGAGTCTTGGGGGTAGTCAACTTCAATTTCGTGGTGGTTTTAGGGGTCTTCGCAGGCTAGACGGGAAAAAAGTCAGCTCCACAGTGTCACCCGAATTCAGCACGACGGCTCTCTCCTACCTTCTCCTCGCTCTGGGCCTCAGAGTCGTTGTCCTTCTTGCGCTTCTTGGTGCTCTTGGGCTTCTTCGTCTCCTCATCAGCATCGTCCATGTCGACATCTTCGTCATCGACCACGTCCATGCTCTTGCGCTTGTTCTTCTTGGCCTCGCGCTCAGCCTTGGCGGCGGCCTTGGCAGCTGCCTGGGCCTCCCTTTCTTCGATCTCCTGCTCCAGGGCACGCTGGTGATCTGCCAGCAGGTCCTTGAAGTGCTGAAGGTCATGGCCCTCGGCACCCACAGCATACGCAGCCAAGAGAGTTTTCGACTTGCCCTTCTCCGACACCTCCTTGCAGCCAGCAGCATCGATAGGGGTCAGATCGGTGTTGGGGATCCACGCGCTATGGTCTTCGTTAGCCAACTCGATGTCGCAAGCTTCATCCAAGCTCAATGTGGTGTTACTCACAATTCGTTCGTCTCAAAGAACATAACGGGGAAGGTCCGCTCGTGAGCGCGTTTGCCGCCATCGGCGTAGTCCTCCCTGTAGGTTCCGTCGGGGCGCTGAGCCGTCACGGGACGCGTGTTCAATAGAGTCTGCGGGAGCATTTCCTCGTCGCAGATGATGGAAGGCCATGGGGGAAAACTCCTGAGACGCGCCAGGTAGTACTCGCCGGGCTGTGCGTTCAAATGTGTGGTACGGATCTGGGACTTCTTTCTGCTCAGCTTAGACTTGTGCTCGGGCACGGTGCCAGTCGATTTCCGCTTCGCGGCGCCAGACTTCTTAGCGGATGCGGGTGTTCCGTTGGCCTCCGATGCTGGTGCGGCTTCGGGCTCTGCAGGCGCGGCCGCACTCTCATCGGACTTCTTCGCGTCGGCAGACTCGGCGGGTGCGCTCGATTCCTCGGCCTCTGCTGAGGCGGGCTCTTTCTTCTCCTCTTCAGTGGCAGTTTCGGTCGCTATTAAGCATGGGGCAGGTGATATTAGCGAGCGCCACTAGGCAAGACCGCGACGAGAGGAGAGGGCGTGGTGTTGGGGTAGCTTACCAGATGGCTTGTCCTCAGGACCATTGGTCTGCTGCTCTTCCTTCTCCTTGGAAGGCTCTTGCGCAGACTCAGCAACAGCGGGCTGGGCATCAGCGGGAGCGCGTTCGACGGACGACTCACCGGCGTCGGGGGCGGGCGCCGAGGCAGCAGGGGTATCCTCGGCCATGATGCGCAACCGGGAGTCGGAAATTAATCAGGAGGGGGGAATGGAAGGAGGATGCGAAGGAGAAGAGGATAGACGAAGCCTTCTGATGAGAAGAAGGTTTGGGTGGGGGGGAAGGTTCGAGGGGAAGGGTAATGTGGTGGAAGGAGGAGGAGAGGAGTGAGTGAGAGAGAGAGTTGAGAGCGAGCGAGCGAGAGGTGGTGGTGGAGAAGGTCGCGACGCCGGGAGGCGGGAAGTCGACAACGCGTTGCACTTCTTGGGGTGGGAAAGCAAAGCGGCGCTGCGCCCAGTCCGTAAATGACGCAAACGCTTCAACGACAAGAGACAAGTTGATCAATGTCAACCACCACCACAACTGGTCTTGACAATTAACACTGGCTTTCTGGAGCTGCCCTCAATAACCCTTGTATTAGCGACTGGGCAGGAGGGGGATCCTATCACGGCAGACCGCTGTGTCGTGTCTCGGAGCGCTTGTGGCAACTGTAAGACAGAGCTTCCAATAGGGGGGGTCGTTGCTGAGAATCGTGGCGTTTCTCCCAAACGTAGAATCGACGGGTGAATCCGATCCAGTTCACTTCAAAAACACGGCGATACAGGGACGCCTGTGGTGATGAATGGCTGAATGGATGATGGTGATGCTGCTAATGAGCCGTGACGCGAAAACTCCCCGGCGATTGACGATCCTCCAGCAGCCGGAAACGCGAAGTCGCTGCTGCTGCACAACAACGGTACGGAGCTTGCAATAGCAAGAAAGAAAAAGCCAAGGGGCTATTCGGAAATTGGCGACAGTAGAATCGTAGTGATGAACACCCACGGATGAGCCGCAGTCTGCTTGGATCACCGAGACAGCGAATATCACGGGTCAATTCAAGAGATGGATAAGACTCAAAATAGAGTGCACACAAGTACTTGGTGTTGAGACACAACCTGTTCAGGGCTTTAGTATCTTATTTTGCATAGGACATCCAAATCGCAGACTCACCTGAAGCTAACAATCCAGCTCGCGCACCGCCGAATCCGATCACTAGTTTGAGGATGTTGAGGAACACCAGAAACCCCGCGGTCGCAAGGATCTGCAAGATTCGGACGAGGAGTTGAAGCTAGGTGAACAAGCAAGTATACCGAAGTCAAATCTCACCCGGAACCGACACTGGATCTTGGAGAGGGTAGTAGAGTCGACGGGTGAGGAGGAAGTAGGGGTGATGGTGAGAATGCGTCTTGTAGTTGTTTGGTCGGGGGGAACAAGGCAAACAAAAGGGAAAGACGGATGGTTGACGCCAGGAGAAAGAGTTCCCTCGCTGGCTGCCAAACCACCAGCCATCCTAAATCTATATCCCCCAGCACAACACTCAACTGACCTTAATCCCCCCCACTCCCGCATTGGATTTTACAGGCTTATTCCGAGATCGACTCCGTGCGTTAAAGGGCGGGACAATGAGCCTAGTAGAGTGTTCCCCATCTACAACACCCCGTCCGGCACTTGTCGAGTCAGTCCCACGCAAGTAACACTGACAATCAATACCTTGCAAATCCTTCTCGTCGTGTGCTACAAGCAGAATTTCAAATGATCCCATCTTTTGCCTTCTCTCACCAGCCACCTGGAGGGTATCTTCGTGTTATTCTGTTCGGACGTTCATTCATCCCTATTCACCCCCACCCGCTTTCCTGCTTGAATTCGTCTCTAGTTCTACTACTATATAGCAATCATCATCCCAATTTGTGCACGATGTTTGACTTACACAAGAACTAAAGTCATCCCAAAACCATTCATCATGTTGAGTAGAGATAAAAAATATTAAATGCATTGTCTTTGATCAAAAGCAGGTCGCCATATACACAGTAGGGGAAGTTCGGAGCATATGGATGATCGAGGGAGAGTAGGCACGGACAGTAAGAATAGTACGGCCCCAACGACCGACCGGCGGTACCATCAATGTAATTAATACAGATCAAGAGTCATGACAGGTTCATAAAAACGAGGTGAGAAGCCATTTCCAGAAGGGTATCATGCAAGTCCACGGTATATATGTAGGAAGACAAGCTACTCTCGAGGCAGCGCAAACTCGCTCACCAAGGAAGGGAAGTATGTTCAGGCAATCCCTCATCATCAGTCCACCCATCAGCTCCTTCGAATTCTTCCAGCGCGGTCGGCACCGGCTTGTGGATACGAAGAGCCCAGAGGAAGTAGTCTTCCAGGGGAAGCAGGTTCAGCAGGATGCCGTTGAATTTCCACCCAAGAGCACACACCGTGGCACCGGCCACCGCGTCCAGAATGAAATGGTTGGCAGTCGCGACAATGGCGGCCAGGATGACAAATGGATAAGCAAAGCCCATGGCCAGGCAGACGAGTCGGCGCCATGACGGAACCTGCAGTCCGACAGGGCCAATCGCGATGCGCGAGCGCCGACGATGATGTGGCGGCAGCGGTATGGTCATGATCGTGAGACCAATCATCAGAGAGTAGCCGAAATGCAAGGAGGGCATGGCGGCTGTGCGTGTTTTGGTCAGCGGTCTCCTCGCCCAAGTGGTTCCCCGGAATGAATACTCACCGTACTGGTTGCAGAAGCGGTTTTCGGTCCAAACGCTGCCTGCACCGTTGACGCCATGCACCGTATCCACAAATCCATAGCTACGACCCCGAGCTGCATCAGGACCCTGCGCGTCCTTGTCGCTCAACAGTCGAGGTGGCATGCAGGGCCACAAAGTAAACACCACGAACGCAAGCAGATTGCACACGGCAAGTGTTCGACGACGAGCTTGATAGAGGCGCGGGCCTGCGGGCGAGCCACTCATGAATCCACGAGGCTTGCCAGGCTGCGACTCATCGTATCGGTTTCTAGTGGTCGTGTAGTAGTAGAGCCAGACGAGGAAGGCAATGGTTCCCGGGATATGAATAAAGGAGTAGATCCAGTTTGTCCACATCATGAGTCTGGTGTGCCGGAGGAAGAATCGCTGGATAGGAACCTCCAAGAACAGTCCCAGCGCCTCTTCAACCTGTATCAGCTGTAGCGCATGTTTCCTCGCCACGTCGACGGTGCCTTCTTGCAGCGTAACGGCAGTAAAAGCTCGACCTAGTTGGTATGTCTATGCCATAACATTAGCGATTCCCACATAGAACCTGGAAAGCAAGTAGTTGCTGTGGACTCGAGTAAAGCAAGTGTAGGGAACACAAGGGTTCGAAAATCATACCCAGTACACTAACGCCCAGTACCAGCATTCGACTAAGAAAGGGAACTTGCGTAGGAGGCGACTAAGCAGGCGATCTTGGAAGACGATGGTGTTTGGAGAGGTGACCTCCAAGGTCGACGAAAAGATCCCCAGTTGCCTCTTGCGCCACCGACTCTGGCCATCTTGTAGGAGTGCCGATGAAGACGAGGACAAGCGACGAGACAGCAGGCCGTCCTTTGCGGTTGGTGTGGACAGTCCGGACTCTGTCGCATCAGGAGAGCTGCCACGTGAAGGGATGCTGGATCTGCGGCGGGTTCTGCGTGCAGGGAACGATCCTGTTGTTCGGTTGATCCAGGTACCTCCAAAGAGAAGGACGATGACCGTCAGAGGCTCGAGGAACGCTCCAACTCCCATGATGGTGTGACCTCCTCGGGGTGGGAAGATAGATGCGCTATACCGGGGGAGGAGGTGGGAAGAGTCGACTGTATGGAAAGGGAAAGAAAATCAAGGGTGAGGATTAAGACTAATGAAGTACAAAAGACCAAGCAGCTCCAAAATTCCAAGCTGGAATGCTGCGGGGCAAGCTATAAAGAGTGAAGCACAGAGAGACAAGGCTTGGAGAACACCGAGAGCATCGTCAGGTTAGCAAAGCCAACCAGACAACAACAAACCGGTAGGAAGGAAGGGCGGGCTGAATTATTCCCGCCTAATAGCTTGAATTAGTAGCAGTAGCGTGTAAGTATTGCTCTCTGAGATGGGCAGCAGTGGGGGGCGGCACTTATGTACCTTACGCAGTGCAACCTAGTAGCAGATGGTACTAGTAGGAACTTGCTTGCGTCTTTTTGGGGGGGGTGTGGGTATTAGTAGATAATCATTAGTTGATTAGTTTTGATTTAGTTAGGATAGGTAAAGTAAGTAAGTAGTACGTAGGTACTAGGTAGGTACTACAGGGAGAGAGGGAGAGGGAGAGAGAGAGAGAGAGAGAGAGAGAGAGGGTCTCAGCCCAGCTTGACCTGCTTGGCTGGAGAAATACTAGTCAAGTACCAAAAAAGCAGCAGGCATGTAACAAGTCCGAACCACCGACCCTGAGTGGGCAGCAAAAAAAATGAAAATAAAAAAAATAAAAAATAAGGGATCGCTCCTCACTGGATTGGATGACATGGCTCTCCAAAGTGGGTTTCACCGGTTCTTCGGTGTCTGACTTGGTTGTGTTTGGCCAAATTAGGCCCCGTTAGCATCGCATTTCCATGTCGTGATAATTAACACATGCTGGAGATCGGGGCCAGCAAACCAAGGAACCACCAGCACTACTTGGCTCAGAGAGAACGCCATCGTCGGAGCTTCCGGATGCCGAATAAAACAAAGCCATCCGTTTGGGGGAGGGGGGAAGGAGATTGAAACTCTGAGAAGGGACGGCAGAAAGGGTCAAACATCCGCGTTCCAGTAATCATACCAATTAAATCTGACCTCCTATTTTGGACCTGGATGCTAATTTCACCCTCTTTAGAATGCCTATTAGTAACTTATTGGGGGGAAGGTATGGGTGAAGTCACAAAGAAAATTGCTTTGTCGGTGTCACCCAATTAGGCCCATTAAGGTTTGTCAAAAAGGTCGAGGAAGATCCACGAACATGGGTCCTTGCTCCCACTTGCTGGGCCTTACTCTGTACTGGCGGTGACAGCAAAAAAAGTGACCTGCTAATACGGAGTAAGTTATTTCACGGTTCAATGGTAAGGATAATTACCAGATTCGATCAGGCCGTCTCTCATCCACTGCAGGGATTTTGCCGTCGCGACCAGACAATCCTCGTCACGACTAGTATTGTTACCACGATTATGTTCCAAGTCAGACCAGCTGGAGCTATTTCCATTGGCTGGAAACCCTATGTCAGCCGCATCCACTTCCCAGTTTGGTAATTACCTACCTACATCATGCTCGCAAGCTAGTAAGCTTACGGAAAGACGTCACATGAGTCAGCGGAATGTTGGCCAGGATGGGCAGGAAAGCACGCTGCACAAAAGACGGCACGAGAAAGTTTGCCGATAAATGGACGACGAAGGAGATGAAAATGCTGAAGTATCAAATCATTAAGTCTATGTTGCCTCTCTGTGAAGTGCTCAGGTTACGTTGAATATATGCATGTACTCCCCTCCCGACGAAGCCTAGTAGAGCCTTTACTCGTACTCGATCGCGAATACGATACGATGTAAATACTGGCCCTACAGGGTCGAGGCTTCCAGCCTTGTTCTCAGCCAGTCCACTTTCTTGCTTGGCGATCCCAGTGAGCGGAATCTAGACTAGATATTGATTACTTCGTTTCTGGTCCTGCTTTCTTTGTGGGAACCCCCCTGTTCTCCCCTTGGTTCCACGGTCAATTTTCCTTGCTCTCTTCAACTCTTCATGACCCTTGTCGGGTGGAAACCCGAAACGCCTCCAGGACGTGCGATGACATCGTGACAGTTTTCCCCTGTATGTTTATCGAGCGCCTCAATTATCCGATCAGCGTTCGTATCTCTCCTAGAAACCCCAAGATTCCGAAGCCACTCCCGTATCCCTACTATTAAAAACCAACTCAGCCGTACAAAAAGCATCACGGCAGGTCCCCGATCTTAGTGTTAGCTTAACTACAGAGCTGGCGCATGATTTGCAACCCTTCCCGTCTCGATCACGGGATGATTTCCAAGGCAGGAGAAGTCCAGATGCATAAAACCCCGCATAAATCACTTTATCCTTAATACTATGGAGTAACGCCTAACAACAAGGGACTTCGTATAGCTTCCGAGGGCTCCGCAGCGGTCGACAAACATCCGTTTCCGAGGTCCTAGTCTGTTCTCGTCTCATCCACTTAGTTCGACGGTTTGCCTTCCTGATCATCAATCCACCCTGTGAGTTGAAGCGGGGTTACCACGTTCCGTGCACCGAGATTGTCACTATTCTTAGTGATCCCACACTGAGTCCTGCGAGACGGCTGGTGCGATCGCCCGTATACTTCACAAAGAGTGCAGAATATTGTAGGCAATCACTTTTTGTTTTCTATTTAAACATCTAACATTGTGCACGTGCTCCAATGAGACGGTCTTCTGGAGTGCTTGTAGGCAGACAGATAAGTAACCTACATGCAGTATACATGCGTTAGGTCTTTTGAGGCTGTGTGACGGTAGCCTTTTTGTTGACCCAACCAAAGTTTCATTAATTGACCAACCAGTTATTTTCCTGTCTTGTTGAGGTAAAAATCATGCGATTTACTATAGGGGGACTGAATATTATTATTATTGTTATCAATCATCCTCGTCGGCGACCGGAAGACTTCCGCTCCGTGCCAAGTGCCGACCCAAAACCCGCTTGTCTCCGAAGCTCCGTCGCCAATACTTTCCCTTCATATGCGGGCCCTGGAGAAACTCTACTGGGAGGATCTTGTATCCATGGACCCTCAATCGTTGTTGCTGAATCGGTGCCTAGGTGCTACGAAGCTTGACCCGAATACTAATCATTCTACCTCGGCGCGGGAAGATCGTTGAATTTATACCGACCAAAGCACCGACGTACTTGTGTGCTCCTCTTACCAAATACCTACTAGGGATTTTTATGTCGATAAATATCAGCAACCAGATATTTTTGCTTCATTCGACCTGATTCATTAAGCCCTAATAACCCATTAACTGGATTGATAACTACTCAATATACGGGCTTACCGGATATATCAAATGACGTCATGTACGCGTGCCTTTGCTGTCCTGACTTCATCGCTATTCCCATTCATCCCAGAAGTACCAATGAATTTTGGCCAGTGAGCACATAATACTGCTCAGGGGTACACAACGGTTCCGCAATGGATGAGAATCTCGGGTTCTTATTGCTTATCGTTCAATGCATTCTCCTAACTGTCAACCGGTAGGGACCAATGATTGTCACTGTCTCCTCCACGTCTCAGTGATGAGCTATCCTTTACGTCAGTCTTTTGTGACTCCTGACATGACCGGATTCAGGTGAACAGAGATGAACACATACTATAAGGGACCGAAGCTTCTGATGTGCTTGCACAACCAGTGTCAGTCTTAATGGAAAATCATACATAGTGTCTTAATTACTCTGCTTGATACACCTTTATCCAGAACATAATACCAGTCTACATAATGTTTTCCACTCTATCTCGCGTGACCACAGCCCCGTCGAGGAGCATCCTCCAGCATGCGTCACCTCAGATTCCCAAAGTTGCCGTATTGACGGGAGCTTCGCGAGCGCTTTCTTCCACCCCTCCTAGCCAGAAAGAGGTCACATTGCTTCAAGACAAGAAAAATGGATTTGGATTTGCACGGTCGAATCCTCGACCTCCGAAGCCACGGACGAAGGGTGTCACTGAAATTAGAGGCCCATACTATACTGTATGCGATGTCACCGCACAGCCGGGCGAGAGTGCTCGCGCTAAAGCAGAGAGCTGATCCGTAATCGTAGGTGATGGGTAAAAGATACTTGGCGGACGTGCTTGAGACGTGAGCAGTACCCACCACTTCTGCCACAGGTCTGGGTTCTGATCAATGTTCAACAGGATGGGAACACATGTCGACGGCTTAAAGTTTGCAGGAGGTAAAAATTACCGCTAGACTGGTGGGACAAGAGACAAATACTAAACAGCCTTCTAGGATCATTCTCTCTCTTTCCGGAGAAACCCTTAAGAGAACTGATTGACCTTGCTCATGACTACAATGTCTATGTCTCGACCGTAAGGATTTGCTCGGAAGAGTTCGCCGGTATAGGCTTGCTAATAGTGACTTCTGCATAGGGCGGATGGGCTGAACATCTACTCACTCACCCGGACGCGAATGCCGTCTTTGACAAATATCTTCGCAAGTGCAAGGACTTGGGGTACGGTTATTTCTATGTCCATGTTTACTTAAAAATCAGCTCATCCAACTAATTGCTCTCGGCAGATTTGATGTGATTGAGCTCTCGTCCGGCTTCCTGTCCTTCCCTGAAGACGACTGGCTCCGACTTGTCGACAAGGTTCACTCGTACAAGCTAAAGGCGAAGCCTGAATTAGGAATCCAGTTTGGTGCTGGTGGTGACACTCCGGCGTCTGGCTTGGAGGCGATTGGCACTTCCGACCCGGCCAAGCTGGTGAACATGGGGCGCAAGTTCCTTGACGCAGGTGTCGAGCGCCTGATGATTGAATCGGAAGGGATCACCGAGAACGTGCAGTCATGGCGGACTGATGTGGTGTCCAAGATCATGAAGGAACTTCCCCCAGAGCGCGTCATGTTCGAGGCGGCAGATCCCAAGGTGTACAACTGGTATATCCGGGAGTTTGGTATTGATGTGAATCTGTTTGTGGATCATAGCCAGATTGTGCAGTTGTCATGCTTGCGCCATGGAATCTGGGGCACGGCCGATACCTGGGGCAAGATTGTGTCGTTCCGGCCAGAGTAAAGGGACCAACTCGGCCGTAGAGGGAGTGATGTGAGCCGTGCGGGTCATGCCGGGCATCGGAGGAAATGTACGAAAGTAGTTATCAAGGCCGTAAATAGCCACTAGTCGCCAATAATGCCATCGATGGTTTGAAGTCGAAGCAAGTTGCCCGATGATGATCCATTATTCTTAGTCAGCGCCGGCCCCCCAATAGGCGGCCCCGACTCAATCCGGGGAAAGCGGCCAAGCATCCCATCATCCTTCCGTTCTGGTCATCCTCTTCTGTTTGACTCGCCATCTGCCTGTGGGCATATCTTTGCCGTTCTGGCTCTCTCCCGTGTGCTAGAGAGATGTTCAATCCAACACTCGGCTAGTCAGCCTGGGTCTTGACACAAACCCCCTCCCCCCTCATCACCGGCCAGACCGACCCCGCGGTTTGCCCCTGCAGGCGGTCTGCACCTCTTCTCCTCGTCAGGTACATCACTTTGCGATTGTGGCTCGAGCGGATTTACGGGCCCGGATCATCAGACGCTATATCAGTTTCATGCACCATCATGCCTAAAGCTAATCCACCCCCTGGGGGCCGACTCCGCTGCAGACGCGCCTGCGATAGTTGCAAGCGGAGGAAACAAAAATGCAACGGAGAACAGCCATGCACGATCTGCATCCAACGGCGCAAAGAATCCGAGTGTCACTTCTCCGACAAACCGGCGAGACTGCTCAAACCGAATAGCAGCAGCTCCAAGGACACCATGCTTCTCAGCGAACGGTTAGTCCCGACCCCACAGCGTCAGACCGCCATGGACCGACTCCTGAACTCGCTCGAAGACCGGAGTGCCAATATGGAACAACAGGCTACGGATGACAAGGATGGGATGGCGCCTGTGCCCAAGGTGGCTAGGCTACTGCGTGATGGACAAGGCAAATTCATGTACGTTGGCGACTCCGCCAGCTTGTCTTTCCTACAGAGTGTGCGGAGGATCGTATCGACTTCGATCGGCAGATGCGAGTTCACGGAGGACAACTCGCGACATTCGATGCTGGAGGCGTTCCAGAGTGGCTCTACAACACAAACAGGACCGTTGATATCGCCACCAAGCAATGAAGAAGCTCAGAGGCTTGCGCGCCAGTTTGTGCTTGCTACAAGCCCGCTGTTGGATCTGTTCGACCTCAACGAGTTTCACCCCCGGCTTGCAAATTGGGTCGAGAATCCGACAGGTGATGAGGATACTGTCAGCTCGATATTTTATCTCGTGCTTGCGATTGGCGCGCAGGTGTCTGATATCAATCAATCCCTGGCTGAGCAGTACTTCGTCAGCGGCCGTCAGTTAGCGTTTTCTGCCTTCACGGAGACCCCGAGCATATATACTATCCAGTCCTATGTTTTGATCTCGATGTACATGCTGGGAGCCTGTCGACGCAACGGAGCTTTTATGAATTTGGGAATCGCGCTTCGTGCCGCGTATGCGGTTGGAATTCACCGGAAAGACGCGAATGCGCTTTTCTGCACCCGGGAACGGCGGGCTCGAGAACGGGTGTGGAAGAGTCTTCGTATGATGGACCTGTACCTTTGTGCCTCCTTAGGACGTCCTCCTGCGACACTAGACTTTGACTATGATCTGCGTGAAGAAGGGATTTCGCCAGGGGAGCAACAGCGCCTTCACCCGGACGAGCAGTTGTCCATGACGGTGATCTCACTGTGCCGGATCTTCGAACGTATCCTGACCGAAGTCTATATGCGACAAGTCGTCTCGATTAACGTCGCAGAAACCATATCGAATCAACATCGAGCTTGGGTGCGCAATCTTCCGGTGTTTCTGCAGATGCAGACTGAGCGGCTGGATTCCAAGACGCTGGAAGGCACCTTGTCCGCTGCGCACATCTTTGGTTCCTACTACTGGTCGATCATTCTGCTTACTCGGCCGTTCCTCATCTTCCGAGTGTCCCAATATGTGCGGAATAGGACTGAGGCAACAGGATCCTCCGACAGCAGGGCCAGCAACTCTCGCATTGCGTTATTTGCCGACGCATGTGTTTACTCTGCCTTGCGCGGACTCAACATCGTAGATGATCTTTCTCGCTACAATACCCTGCCGCGCAGACTCCCATTTCTTATCAATTCCGTCTTCAACTCAGCCGTGGTGTTGGGAGCCGCTTTCTTTGCCGACTACGACAATTTGCTCCCGCTTGAGGAAGGCATGGACAAGGCGGAGAAATTTCTGGGCCTCTTCGTACCCCACGACCCACACGCATGTCGCTTCTTCCAGATCATCAAGTATCTCCGAGGCGCAGTGGCGGAGTATGTTCGTCGACGGAACCGCCATTGGATGGAGCGCCGCAGCCGACAAGTTGACCAGCTCTTCGGCCAAGTCGGGCCCGCCAAAGAAACCCCCATTGCCGAAACAAATACCCCGAGCAGTCATCGCGGAGAACCCCCCGCTGTACCATCTCCTTTATCCCCCGACAAACTCACCGGAGCTTCTGCTTCTCAGCCGCCCGACTTAACTACAAGCACCACTACCGCTGGCCCAACCGACAGTGACATCTGGGATACGCTCTATGGCGCACAAGGCGCCGACACGCTACCATACGACACCGCAATTTCCACGCTCACCACAACCGGAATTCCCATCGGCTGTTCCCCAGGCGGTACCATCCCTGCTGGTGGCATGCCTCCGGATGCTCCAGGGGCGCAAACACCACTCTCGGACGTGATTCTCCCGGACAATGGCCTGCTCTATATGGCCGAAGACCTTCCCGTATTTGGGATTTGGGGAGATGCTTGAAGCATCTTCTAGCTCACACTGCAGCTGGGAATTGAGTGCAGATATGTCCTACTTGCCACATTATCTCTACTCCGGAAATCTGAATTCAATCCAACCCGATCACGACACTACTCCTCATGACTCTTGGCCTCCTCTAGAAGTTCCACTTTCCTCCAATTATATTATCTGATCTCACTTAAACGTGTCTGAATTGGCGTGGCGTGGAATGGCGTTGGACTCGTGAATCTCTTGGCTATGTATATATGAAGCAAACTGGAACTTTCCATCAATACCACTTCACCATCCATACATACATACAACACATATATACTTCGTTTCTCGTGTACATACAAACCTACAAACATATGACATACTACAATCCCCGACTGAATTTATCCCTCACTCAATACATCCCGATGACTAAATACTAGTGATCAATACAACCAGGCCACACTGCCACTGCCAAAATACTATCCATATACCCCATCTCCAATCGTCACACTAACTGTCAGTTGAATTTACCAGACTACAACATCATACCAACTGTGCCATGATGGGCAGGCACTACTAAGTAGTACTTAACAACCCCTGAAAACCTATAATTACAACAGTAATGATCTATGTTATATTCATATTCAGTTATTATTATTACTAGTAGTAGTAACATTGTTTTTCCCCATAGCACCCACCCACATTCACACCCCTCTCGGTTCACTCTTTATAATACTATGTTATAGTCGGTGGATAATAACTATTATGTGAATACAGACGGATGATGACCTTTAGCTATTGATTGTTTGAAAGTGATTTACTAAGTACTGTAAGTAACCCTGAATTTATTCAAATCAACTAGTCTTTGTTGACAGTACTCAATGCATTGTCATCAGTTACTACTCTTGATTGGGACACTTCTCAGTGAATCATTCTTTTCTACTACTACTTACAGGTTGTTTATTTACTTATTCAGGAGGATTGTATAATTACTAACAATAGTCCTTCATTCACTTACATACTCACTCTTGGAAAGGTCAATTTCTGTTTATCAGGTGATCGACACATTCTATGAGCCATCACCCTGATGATATATTGCTACTATCATAGTAATCCGTGTATACCTATTATATGTATCCGTGATACACCATCCAAGTAAAGCAAATATCAAGCAATATCAAGCAATACCAAGCAACTGAATCGTACACTAGTAATACTAATAATCCCTATTTTATCTGCTGAATCACGAGCTATATGTACCGTACATGTAATGCAAAGATTGCAAAGCAAAAAAGAAGGTGCACATCGGGATCGAGCAGAAAGCAAAAAGGGTAAAAGGAAAAACGGAACGTATAACGGGGACAAGAGAGATAGTCATGTTCAGGAATTAGTCGGAATGAGAAGGTGAGAAGAAACGAATGCAACACCTCCGGCCGAACGCGAAAGAAGCGTGCAGGATGAGCATGAGGATCGAGTTGATAGGAAAGAAGTTTGGGGGGCGGATGTGTACTCTCACGGCAAGAAGACCGTGAGGTAATATAGGATACAAAAGAAACCAGGAAGCAGAAGAATGGGGGTGAGTTTCTGTCTTCCCAATATTACGTATTGATGGGATGGAAGCAGCGTCGAGGTAAGAGAGAGAAGAGAACATCAGAAAGAAATTCTAGATCGCTGAAGCTGCGTCATGTAAACAAGACTCGAGACATTGCTTCAGAACTCGCTGCGTGGGTCCATTGCGTCCGGCCATGACTAAGGTAGAGAGAGAGAGGGAGCTCTGATATACGCATTACAGCGTCAGAAGTGGCAGAAATGAAAGCAAACCGCGGCATCATTTATGTATGATGTGCATGCCATTCCCGCCAGCAAGAAATAGCAAGCGACCATGTATAGTAAAGGAAAATCGTGTGTCGCCAAGTCACAGACTGATATATACAGGTTTGAATTAGAATCCAAACGGATTGGTAGGCGCTGGTGAGTTCCGTTAGCTTGACCCCAACCCGAAGAAGTATAAAAAAGTAGATGAACTTACTGGCTTGTGCGAGATTGGCCCGGAGACCGGTCGGCTGAGGAGCGAGCTTCTTGGGAGGCTCGTTCTTCACACCAAACCGGACAGCAGGGGCGGGTCCGGTCTGCTGTGGCTGCAATGGTGCAGCCGTAGGTTGTTGCGGGATTGGCGGCACAGGAGGTGCGCTGTAAGGCATGCTGCCAACACCATTCATACCCGTAGGTTGGGGCTGCAGAGGCGGAGGCAGAACGGAATTGATGCCGGTTTGCATCGGCTGCTGGGGTTGCGGCTGGAAGCCCCCGAAGCCTGTAGGCTGTGGCACCAGACCCGGGTACCCAGCTTGCTGTTGCTGGATTCCGAACTGGGACTGCGGCTGGAAACCGGTGGGCTGCGGTGCCAGTCCATTCTGGAACTGAGCCTGAGGCATGAAACCAGTAGGCTGGGGCTGGAGAGTGGGCTGGAACCGCTGTTGGTTCAGTTCGGCCAGACTCTGTCCCGGCGGAGCAATCTGCGGTCCCGACTGAGGAATACCAGTCAGTTGGGGTTGCAAAGGAGGCGGACCGAACGAGTTTGGCTGCTGAGGGAAGTTCTGGGGCGCGGAGAGGGGTCGCTGGGGTGGTGGAGGAAGCAAAGAGCTCTGTCCCATGTTCTGAGGCGGCTGGGGGCGTTGTCTTGAAGCTTGCTGGAAGCCCGTTGCTTGAGGACTGAACCCTTGGGCACCCGGAGCAGGCTGTTGCGCAGCTTGTGCCAACTGGGAGAAGAAGCCCGGCGTGGCCCCTGTCTGCTGTGGTTGCATTTGCGTTGCGGGCACCGCAGTGTGCTGGGGTTGAATGGTCGGCTGTGGCTGGAGAGCTGGCAAGGGCGCCGGCGGAGATTGCGGGGCAGGAGCCGCAGGCGTAGGCTGAAGAGGAGCTTGAAGCAAAGACAGGTCAGCCATCGCGCCTGCAAGTGGTTGCTGAGCCGGTGGTTGTGTCGTGGCGGGAGAGGACGCAGCCGGAGGGGGGCTTGAGGGAGTAGCTGGCGTCGAGGGAGCTGGAGCGGCGGCGGGAGTAGCAGGTTGCTTGGGCTGCTTCACCTCCCAGGCATCGTCGTCGAAGCCCTTCTGAACCGGGGGTTCGGAAGGTGCAGCAGTGGCGGGGGGTGTCGCACTGCGCTCTGCAGGCTGCGAAGCATCCTTCTGCTCAAAGGCCTTAGGGTCGACCACATCGCCGGCTGGCGAGGTGGGAGTGGGCCGGCCTTTACGAGTGTTGTTGCGAAGGACACCTCCAGGGCCAGAGAAGATGCCGGCGGCACCCTCTTCGCCATTCCCGATGACTTCTTCACCGCCAAAGCTTACGTTACGTAGCTTCGACTTGGCTCCGGTGCGCCCAAACATGTTGTCCAGGTAGCGCATCACTCGCAAAATATCGCCTTCCTTCAGACCGAGCGTGCGCAGCACCTCTGGGGTGATGTCCGGAAGCACGGCCTCGTCCATGGAGTCCTTGACGAAATTTTGGGCATACCGCTCGCATTGGTGCGGGCCAACGCCGGCCTTGAGGAAGAAGTCAAACCAGTCATAGTCGGATTGCTGGAAAGAAGCTCCGGCGGTAGCTGAAGCACGTTTGCCCTCAGAGGGGGACCGGGCCTTTTCAGGCTCGACGCGTTGAGAACGGCGTCTGATGTCCGACAACGGCTTGTCCTCGTCGAGAGACACGCCTGTCATCTTCTCTACATACTCGAGATCCTCGACGGACATCTTCGGGATGGGAACCGCGATTTTGACACCGTTCATCTTGTGCAGATGAATCTTGCCATCCTGCAGGCCAATGAATTGCGCCTCGACAGTGAACGTCTTGGTGCGATCAGTCCATTGCCTTGTTTTGGCCGGATCCGGTTCTGCTTCCATTAGCAACAGACTCAGCACTTGAGGGCGAACGTGATGACTTACTCGGCTTGTGGCTGCTCTTGCTATCGCGTTTCTGGCGTCAAATAGTCAGCATCACCTCTAGCAATTGACACCCGGGCTTTCGGGAGAGGAACATACCTGACCGTCAACCGAATCGGTCCGCGACTTGCGCAAAGCTTCCTTGGCTAGGCGCGCTTCCTCCATGCGATTCTTCTCTACAGTGGAAAGGCCCGGTTCGGAACTAATCACCGGAGTCCCGACCGTTCCGGTAATCTCAATGTAGCTACTTGGGACGACACCCTCCTTTCCGTTCTTCACACGCCGCACCTGCCACCATTCTTCGGACTTGCCGTCATCCAGGACGATGACGTCGTCGCCCGCGGCCACCGTCACCTCATCGTCTCCTTGAGCCATGAAGTCGTAGAGAATCTGGCCCTTCTTCTGTCCTCCACTGGTACCAGCGGCGATGACCTCCTTCAGACCCTCTGCGCGATAGGCGCCGGAAATTTCACCCAGGGCTGAGACAATTTCCCGAGCAGTGTCCTTGGCGCCCGCGTGGAAATCGATGCTCTTACTGGGCCGGACCAGATCCACAAAGACGTGCTTTCCTTCAATCGAATAATGGGTGAGCTTGTCTGCGGTCCATTCCTGCACATCACCACCCTCCTCGGGCGAAATAAAGATGGTTCCGGTTGCGACATTGATACCCAAGGTTGTGGGCATCTTCTTGCGCTTGCCCATTACTTCCACCATCTCATTGATGCTGTAGATATGGTAGCCGGAAGGGGAACGAGGGGTCGGTTGGCCGACTCTGCTGTATGGGGGCGATTCTTGCACATGGCCGCCGCGGTCGCTGTCGCGCACCGAAGAAACCTGAGAACGAGGAGGCCGAGCGGGCTCTGGAGGAGAATCCAGCGAGACTGGCGACGAGATCTGCTCGGACGGAGGACGCCGTGGTAACGCAGGCGGAGGTGGCGAGGGCTCGTTCCGGTAGGGCTCCTCCTCGGGCTCATCGTACGCTGGCCGTGCTGGCTGAGGGGGCGGGGGAACGGCTCTGGGTGGTTCCGGTTCTGTCGCAGCGGCATGCTGCTTGTGGATGATATCTGCGATGGCCGCGGCGGCAGGATTCTGCACGGCATCAATTGGAGGAGCTGCGCTGGTCCCGTTGACTTCTTCCTCCGTCACCGTCGGTCGCTGCGGGAGGGCGGGTGGCGCCGGTTCGGGTTCAGATTCGGCGGGGGGAGGAGACGGGATGGCTGGTGCAGGGGCATGGTGCGCGCCTGCATCTTCAAGGATTTCGATGTAGTTCGCGGGGGCGAAGCCGTAATCGGAGTTGACACCGACCAAGGTCCAGTCCGGGTCGGAGGTATCATACACGATCAAGTCTGCATCTTCGGAGAAGGAGACCTCCTCGTCCGTCTGGCGTGTATAATCGTAGAGCGCTTTGGCCGAGTGTACTGGTTGAGCCTACGTGTCCGACAGAAATTGCGTTAGCACAAGCGGTCTCAAATCTGAAGACAAGAGTTGCAGCGTTGCCGGTACCCCTGAGCGTGAGGGGCCGGCCGCGGCGACCATACACCGGACGATGACGCATGCAAGCTTGAAGATATAGTCCGACTCTACGTCAAAAGATGTTTGGGGAGCCTTTAAAAATCCTTACCTCCTCGACGTAGTTGTTTGGGACGAGACCCTCGGGTTCGTCGTCATCCTCACGCTCGGCCTTCTTCTTAGCCTTCCACCAATCCTCCTCTTCGCCTTTCTCGAGGATGTACAGCAGATCGCCTTCGCGTAGCTCTAATTCCCCCTCCGCTTGGGGGAGGTAGTCGTAGATGGCCGTGTAGACACCGAGGAAACCCATGGTGGCAAGCCGTTAGGTAGCCAAACGGCGATGGAGAAGGGTCCGGGGGTTGTGTGCCGCGGCTGCGGAGGGCAGCGTGGACGAGCGAGGCTGTGGGCCTGGAATCAGGAGAGGATGAGCCGGACGAACCGGGTGGATAAAAGGCGGGAGGGAATGGAGGGGTGGGAAGTTAGGGTGGTAAATAGTAGTATGTACAGACGAGGAAGATCGGTAGATTGGGCGGAGGAAGGAAGAGTGAGTGATAGACAGGAGACCCGTGCAACAAACGTACCGAGTCGAGTAAGTATCTCTCTGCTCTCACTAGTTTAGTTAGTAGTGGGCAGGTACGTAAGTGGTCCAAGTGGAGGGAGGCAGCCTTGGCAAGCACCCAAGCAGTACGTAGATAGTAAGTAGCAGTAGTAGTAGTGGATTCAAAGGCAGTCTAGACGGGAATTCAATATCAGGCTTGTTCGCCGGAGGGAAGAAACCGGGAAGGTATGCAGTAGCCCTTAAAGGTAAAGTATTAAAAGAGAAGTGGAATAGAAACGGGAAATAGAAGAAAGCGGAGGGAAACAGAGAGGGTGAAGGGAAAAAGGGACCGAACTGGACCGGCGATGAAGCAGCAGCAGAAGGAAGAGCAACAGCCCGAAAAGAGAGAGAGTTGCGGATGGCTGAGGGGGCCGGGCGGTCACGTTTTCTGCACCCACGTTTTCTTGGATTTATTACTTTACTTTACTTAGTTTATTAATAGCCAGCAAGCAGGTGTTCGATCGATCATATCTGCACCTGACAAAAGTCTTATACAAGAATAAATGTAGTAATTCTTTCTCTACTCCGTAACTCGGTGTGATTTTATGCTCTTACTATTATTATTCCTAACAATATTCTCTCTCTTTCTCTCCTGACCCCTTTGACATTGAATGGGAACGGCAATAATGCTTCGGACAAGCCTGGAATGCCCGCCTTCCCCCCCTTATCGGTCAGCCCAGCCTCTTTGGGCACGCATGGTCTCCCCTCCCCCCCCCGGAAGCCTCCATCCATTATTGGCTCTTGTGCTCGCCATGGGCCGGAATTGAGTCAACTATTTACTTCATACTTATTGAATTTAATTAATGGCAGGTCAATAGTCCCAGTACACGGCAACCGGGATAATCGTAATCTATGCAATGGGATATAATCAGCCGTAGCTACGAACGCACGCTAGAAGAAGAAAACACATGGTAGACGCAAAGAGGAAAGTTGCACAAGGGCACCCCGATCGACCAAAAGCAAAGCTCTCACAATAGCTACAACTCATCCTTCACCCGCTTCTTGCTTACCTCCTCAGCTTCGTCGGTCTCCAATGGCTGCTGTTCTTCCTGGTGCTGCGGTTGTGGCTCCTGCCCTGCCGCCTCTGCTTCAGTCGTCTCCTTGGAAGGAGCATCCGAGACCATCTCTTCCTGGGAGCCCTCTCCGTTGTCTTCCTCCTCCTCGTCATCATCAACGAGGCCGCGCAGTTGACGTTCTCCATTGACCGAGATGACCTCCAGCGTCCAGTCCTTGCCCTTGGCCCACTCTTCCAAGCGCTTCTTCAACGTTTCGAGCTTCTCTGGGTCCAGATCGTGCTTTTTCAGATCCTCGCGCGACAATTGTTGCACTTCCCCGTTTTCGCGCTTGGCCACAACCTCAAGGATCTCTTCTCCAGCCCACGCGACGCGTCCTTTCTCGATCTCCTTGCCTTCCGATCCCACCAGCTTCTGAGCACCGACCTGGATATCTCCGACGACCGGGAACTCCTCCAGCACGGCGGATTCTACTAGTCGTTGCGCCAACTGATACTCCCGGAGCGCTTCCCAGTCCGATACTTGCTCCGGGTCTAGGATTTCGCGACACTCTATTCCATGTACTTCGTCCTGCTGGGGCGGCAGGAAGGCAACGTCGTTACATAGACGCGGGGTGTAGATGACCATGAGATAGGAGCATGTGGTCAGCTCCTTGATCCAACCAATGCGGTCTGTCGACTGAGGGTGACAATGAAACTGGACCTCGATCTTCCGGTCCCGACCTGTCAGGTCGCATTTCGTGCCGCCATCCAACCGTTGCACCAAGTACCTGGAGCCGCCCTTCGTCTGGAGCTCTGCCACGTCTGTGACAGCTTTCTTCTGGTCTGAAGCCCCTTCTACCTCATCTTCGTCGCCCTCTCCCTGAGGGAATTTGCCCAGAATGAAGGAGTGTGTTGTATGGTCCTCCATAGGCGGGTAGTTGGGAACGCCACTTCCTGAAGGGAGGGCGTGGAACTGCTTAATCTGGTTCTTGTAGCAGAAAGAGTAGGACCACCATCCGGATATATAATACATGCATTTGCCCTCCATCTCGCGCAGGAGCTCCAGGCCCCGATCCATCGCGCGCGCCAGCTCCTTCTGCTCGTCCGCTTCGTGAGGATGTCCGGTGGCATTGGTCCGGTCGTCAACATCGACGCGGGGGATCTGGCAGAGGAACCGCTGTTCGCCCAGAAGCATTTCCTCATAGCTGAATCCGTCGTCGCCATCGCGGGGGGTTGCGTGGTTGTTGTTATGGGTATTGCGGCCTAGGTACACTTGGGCGGACTTCTCTTGATTATCGGCGAAGGTCGAAGAGCTATCACTGCGCTCTCGTAGGAGCTCTCTGGCGTGGGAATCGAGGACGTAGTCATCGGGGAAATGCACCTCGAACTAGACGTAGAAGTCGGTTAGATTTGGGCTGTGAGGGGTGCACAAGTGAGATGCGATGCATACTTGAGGGTAAGCTAATAGGTCATCATTGATGTTGAAGGCCTTCTTGCTGGCCCAAGCTGTAGAGCTGGCACACGCCAGCGCTAGCAGAATATGTGCAGCCTGGTTTCGACGAGGCATGGTCGATTGTAGAAAGGGGACGGGGTATCAATTGAGATGGGTCGGAGTCAAGACCGCCGGCCGCGGTGTTCCTGAATGCGACGATCTGGCCTGATTGGGTGCGTGACGGAGACGGGTGGCCAGTGGCTTAGTGAGGGGTTAGGACTGAGTACACGGGAAATACGATCAAGGGAACATTATTGTAAATATGATGGCATGAAAATCAGAATTACAGTTGGGGTATGATGATCTTCGAGGCGGTGATGCACCCAGGGACATGCCAGTTGGGAAGAGCAGCGCAGCAGCGGAGAGCCGGGGATATATCTTATCAGCACGTGCGCACCTACAAAGCAGGTAATTCAACTTGTAATTACTGTAGCACAAAGTTATGCAACTACCAGCATCTGAAGAAGCACAGATTACGATAGCATATTCCAGAATTATACAGTTACCACCCATTCTCCCAATCAATCATGACTGACTAGTTACCCGTCATTATGAAGAACTGACTAACTAACCCCCCAATTCATCCGTCCACGGGAAAAAGAAAGACAGCCCAGCTCAGCTGCATTGACCCCACTGAGTCAGCCCTGAATAATGGCGCTTAAATTGCTGACGGCAATCTTTGTAAGAACGCGACCCATGGGCAACATCCAGCATTACTTCTGGTTACGGAGAACGTAGTAATACTATTTTCTCTCTCCCCCACAATTGACTTTCCTTTTTACCCCCACCAGCCAGAAAGAATCATTCTGATTATGATTACTTTACTTTATGCTAAGCTAAGCTGAGCTAACTAACTAACCTAGTTTTAAAACTAAATCGAATCATCCAGCTTACCAAAATCATTATAAGAAGTTGACTAAACCCCCAAGTTCTAACTATCCCATCGTAGCCAGCACCTTCTATATCATTCGCATTAACCTCCCTGACAAGGTTATAAAAGGCCGTTCACAGGACCACATGAAACTCCTCGTTTCGTTTTTCATCGCTATCATTGCTATTGTCTTGACTTGCAATACATCTACTTTCTTCAACCAGTTCACTAGATACCTTACTACTACTACATCTACCACCACCACCACCACCACAAATCCATCCAACATGTCCGTCCCCCGCGCCATCCGCCAAGCCTTCCTCGCCATCGAACAAGCCGAAGGCGCCGGCGCGCGCGTCCGCCGCTCCATCGGCACACGCAACCTCCGCAACTTCAGCCCCTTCCTCATGCTGGACCACTTCACGATCGGCAAAGGCGCCGGATTCCCCGACCACCCACACCGCGGGCAGGAAACCATCACGTACCTCCTCTCGGGCGGCGTGGACCACGAAGACTTCGCCGGAAACCGGGGCACGATCGGCCCCGGAGACCTACAATTCATGACCGCCGGCCGGGGAATCATGCACGCGGAGATGCCGCACGAGAATCCCGATGGGAGTCCCAACGTGGGCATGCAGCTGTGGGTGGACCTGCCCAAGGAATTGAAGATGTGCGAGCCGCGGTACCGCGATCTGCGGGCGTCGGAGATCCCCATTGCGAAGGCGGATGATGGGCGCGTCACGGTGAAGGTAATCTCGGGCCAGTCACATGGAGTGGATTCCGTAAGGGATCTGGCGTATACGCCTGTTTGGTTGTTGGATATGACGGTCAAGCCGGGCGGTCGGGTCAAGCAGGTGTTGCCGGTTGGGTGGAATGCGTTTGCGTATACCTTGGCTGGGAAGACGATTTTCGGGTCTGGTGGGGAGACGAAGACCATTAAGGAGTTTCATAATGTGGTGTTTGAGCAGCAGGGTGATTATGTCGAGGCGTCGGTGCCGGAGAATGCGGATGAGGAAGGAAGGTTCATTTTGGTGGCGGGTCAGCCGTTGGATCAGAAGGTCGTGCAGTATGGCCCGTTTGTCCTGAACAGTGAGCAGGAGGTGTATCAGGCTATGGTGGACTTTCAGACTGCGTCGAATGGGTTCGAGAAGTCCAGGAATTGGGAGAGTGAGATTGGGAAGCGCATGGCTTATTAGAATGTTTTATTCGTTTGTTTGTAACTGCTAGATGAGATTTGTATTGTCTATTGGCGTTTGGTTTGAGCTTTTTTGAATGTTTGTATAGATCACTGAATACTATTATGAGTGATGAGATCAGTGGAGCTTCCTCAAGTAGAATTATGGTAGTGTGAATCCGTATGGTCAATACTGAAGATAGTAAGGAGTTTAGATGCATAACATTCGCTATATCAACAGGGAGAACTCAGAAATCGAGCAAAATCATCCAATCAGGCCAAGGGGCGGTTCTGGATGGACGTAAGAATCTGACCCCAAGACACCTATTATATCT